AGGGAACAAGCTGTGCTATCATAATAATTAAGGTTTTAAATGATAACTTTAGGTTATATGTTAGTGACTAAGTTTTAATTTATATATTTTTTAACTGTTGCTATATCTGTATTGTCCCTGTAGTACCTACTTGCAAATTCAAATGTATCCCTATCGTGTTTTATGACTTCCTATTCTCATTTTATTTAATCTGTGGACTGCCGGGTGTGGTACAGGAGATGCAAAGTTCTATGGAGGTGGGAGCAACCAGACAATCTATATAGACACACAGCCCAGGCTTGCAACGGGGAGATATCACTCTGGTGCTGCTCGCCAGAGTGCTGCATGCTCTGGTTATCTCCCACTTGGGCTACTGCAATGCGCTCTACGTGGGGTTACCTTTGAAGGTGACCCGGAAACTGCAATTAATCCAGAACGCAGCAGCTAGACTGGGGACTGGGAGTAGCCGACGAGACCACATAACACCAGTCCTGAAAGACCTACATTGGCTCCCAGTACGTTTCCGAGCACAATTCAAAGTGTTGGTGCTGACCTTGAAAGTCCTAACAAAATAAAATAAATAAAATAAAATAATTTTAAAAATTCCTTCCAGTAGCACCTTGTTGTTGTTTAGTCAGTTAATCGTGTCCAACTCTTCGTGACCCCCTGGACCAGAGCACACCAGGGCCTCCTGTCTTCCACTGCCTCCCTCAGTTTGGTCAAACTCATGCTGGTAGCTTCGAGAACACTGTCCAACCATCTTGTCCTCTGTCGTCCCCTTCTCCTTCTGCCCTCCACCTTTCCCAACATCTGGGTCTTTTCCAGGGAGTCTTCTCTTCTCATGAGGTGGCCAAAGTCTAGGAGCCTCAGCTTCAGGATCTGTCCTTCCAGTGAGCACTCAGAGCTGATTTCCTTCAGAATGGAGAGGTTTGATCTTCTTGCAGTCCATGGGACTCTCAAGAGTCTCCTCCAGCACCAGAATTCAAAAGCATCCATTCTTCGGCGATCAGCCTTCTTTAGGGTCCAGTTCTCACTTCCATACATCACTACTGGGAAAACCAGAGCTTTAACTAGACGGACCTTTGTCAGCAAGGTGATGTCTCTGCTTTTTGAACCGGCAAGCCACTCCAGTATCCCTGCCAAGAAAACTCCATGGACATAGCAAACAATAAGTTCAATTAATTAGAATCCTGCATTTGCTTATTTTATTTTTACATGAAATATGCTCTTATAAAGATATGTACAGTGGTACCTCGGGTTAAGAACTTAATTCATTCTGGAGGTCCGTTCTTAACCTGAAACTGTTCTTAACCTGAAGCACCACTTTAGCTAATAGGGCCTCCCGCTGCCGCTGCACGATTTCTGTTCTCATCCTGAAGCAAAGTTCTTAACCCCAGGTACTATTTCTGGGTTAGCGGAGTCTGTAACCTGAAGCGTCTGTAACCCGAGGTACCACTGTACTCTCAGTTATGCACTGCAGAGATTTTAATGCAAGATGCTTAGCATTTCGAGTGCATAATGTTGTTTTGGATTATCGCTCCCCCACAGCAACCCTATAAGGTGGGTCAGTATTGCTTTCCCCCCCATACTCAGCCCTCCTTTCCCTGAGAACTTGCTTTGAGTTTGATTGTTTGGGGAAGGAAAGAGTAATAATTAACAACTCTGGGAATCTGGGCGCAGAATAGAGATCCGTGTGTCTCTGCAATGTGATGCCCTTGGCAGAGAGTTTTCTCACACCTCTTTGCAAAAACTGCATAAGTGTGCGGATAAGTGCCAAATGTGGGGAGTCCGGGACGTGCAGGAGACACCCAGGTCTGCTTCAAGCAGGGCTGTTCTCTCTTTTCTGATCTCTCAAATGCACAACTCAGCAAGCAGCTTTGCCCTCCCTAGACGGGTGGGGGGGGGAGCCTCTTTGGAAGCAGCTGGCGAAAAGCAATTTTATTGCAGGACTGAGAAGCTGGGAGTTTTCAGGTTGGGGGAGAATCGCTCTTTTGCTAATAATCTTGTTGGGTTTTGTGTGTGGGGTTTTTTAAACCACCATTGCAGACATACAGCGTGGACATGTCCCGTTTTATACTGTTTTTGGTCCAAGGTTGTTCCCCTCTCTGATGTTGTACTGGCTAAACCTTTGATACCTGCAGAAGTTTGTGCATTTTAAAATTTACCGTATTTTTCCAGGTATTGTTTGTTTTTATTTTATCATAGATCCTCATCCTGTATTTTTATGTTGTGCACCACCTGCAATCTTTGGGTGAAGGGTGGTATACAAATTTAATACAACAACAACAATAAAAACATTTGGAGGACCAAATATTCCCCAGCCTTGGACTAAATGAATCTCAGTCTGCTCCAACAAAGCACTCAACTGTTTTGTTTCTTTTAACTTTTAATTAACTTTTTTTTTTTGTTCTAAAGGAGACACTCACATTTTTAAGCTCTTAGTGGGAGAAATTCCATCCATGTCTGGGACGCGTGGACGGTTGGACGTGTGAGATACAGGCGGAGAGGGAAAGAGAGGGGGCTTGTGTGGGATGGAGAGACCGTGTATCATTCTTTTGTCTCCCAGGAGGCTCTCTCTGAAAGAAGAGGCACAGTCCGTTTCTGCTCCAGTTAACCACAATTTCACTTTTTCAAATATTGACTCGGCTGGCCTCAGGCCACCGGGAGGTGTGTGGACCCACAGCAACTTGGGAAGAAAGCAGCTTTCTTTTGCCCCCGCGCATGCATGCTGCGCCAGTTTGGTTGCCACTGAGATTTTCTGCCTTTTGGTGGGCTGGGTGCCTTTAATAGCAGCAGAGCAGGCAGAAATCAACTGGCGAAGCTGTTCCCATCAGTGCTTCTATGTGTCGGGAAAAGCTTCACGTTGTGGCGCTGGGCAGCTTCTGAGCAAGGACATGTGTATGTTTTGATGGTGAATTTCAGCTTCCATTCATGAAAGAAATCAAGTGTCTAGACCTTCGGATTGCAAAAGAATTAACAACAACAACAATTTATTTATACCCCACCCTTCTGGCTGGGTTTCCCCAGCCACCCTGGGTGGCTCCCAATAAAAGATTAAAAATACATTAAAACATGAGTCATTAAAACTTCCCTGAACAGCCCTTTGGGCCCCCAAAGGACATCTAGTCCATCCCCCGCAACTCAGGGATTACAGCTGAATAATATGACAGGTGACCACCCAACCTGTTTATAGATCTCCTCCAACGATGAAGAGTCCACCATTTTCCAAAGGAGCCCGTTGTCTGCTGTCAAAACGGCTCTTGCTGTCAGAAAATTCTTCCCCGGCGCTTAGTCAGAAGGCAAAAATATGGCCCTCCAATGAAACTGAATGTTGGAAGCTTCAGGACAGACCAAATAAAGGCCTTTATACAGAATAGAATAAAACTGGTGGGGTTTGCTATGCAATGCATCTGTCCTGTGTTCCTGCCTCCCCGATATTTGACCTTGAAATGCAATCGTGCCTCTCTGCTTGCCTGGACAGAGAGAACTTTGGCTCGGTGTGTTGTTACGCCACTCCAAAAGGGACGCGGATGGCGCTGTGGTCTCAACCACTGAGCCTCTTGGGCTTGCCGATCGGAAGGTCGGTGGTTCGAATCCCCCCCACGGGGTGAGCTCCCATCGCTCTGTCCCAGCTCCTTCCAACCTAGCAGTTCAAAAGCACACATGTGCAAGTAGATAAATAGGTACCACTGCGGCAGGAAAGTAAATGCTGTTTCTGTGTGCTCTAGTTTCCATCACAGTGTCCCATTGCGTCAGAAGTGGTTTAGTCCTGCTGGCCACATGACCAGGAAAGCTGTCTGTGGACAAACACCAACTCCCTTGGCCTGAAAGCAAGATGAGCAGTGCAACCTCATAGTCGCCTTTGACTGGACTTAACCGTCCAGGGGTCCTTTACCTTTTACCTTACGCCACCCCAATCTCAGAAGGGTGAGATGCCAGCAGCTTGCCCAGAGTTTGGTCCCCTTGGAATGAAGATCAGCGACTTGTGGTGTCTTTAGGATATCTGGTTTTATTAATTTATTGCATTAGTAACCCCCAAGATCTCGCTTCTGCATTAATCATAGCTTTGACTCCAGCACAGAGCAAGCAAGTCTCTGTATCTCCAGCTTCCAGCTCACACACAATTCTGCCTTTTGTTCTCCTACCTAGCAGCTGGTTGTCTGCTGCGATGCCCACCCATTTGTTCTATGGCACTGAGCAACTTCTTTAGTTATGCTAATTGTGGTGCTTAATTCGCCAGCCAAATCCATTCAAAGGGCTGCTTTGGCAAAGTTGCTCTTATACTAGTTTCCCAAACTTGGGTCTTCAGCTGTTTTGGGGCTCCAATTCCCAACATCCCTAGCTAATATTTTTTTGGAAGCCGCCCAGAGTGGCTGGGGAAGCCCATTATTATTATTATTATTATTATTATTATTATTATTATTATTATTATTATATTTTATTACAGCTAGCAGGACCAGTGGTCAGGGATGATGGGAGCTGTAGTCCGATAACAGCTGGAGAATCAAGCTTGGGAAAGTTTGTGACTTGTACATTCCACCTCCAGAGACACAGGATCCCAAGAACTGGAAGGGACTCAGGGCATCATCCAAACTGACCCCACTCTTGAAACCCGTAACAATATATACGTTTCCAAGCACAATTCAAAGTGTTGGTGCTGACCTTCAAAGCCCTAAACGGCCTCGGTCCAGTATACCTGAAGGAGCATCTCCACCCCCAGGACACTGAGGTCCAGCACTTGAGCTGTTCTAGCTGTTCCCTCACTGTGAGAAGCCAAATTACAGGGAACCAGGCAGAGGGCCTTCTCGGTAGTGGCGCCCGCCCTGTGGAACGCCCTCCCACCAGATATCAAAGAGAACTACCAGACTTTTAGAAGACGTCTGAAGGCAGCCCTGTTTAGGGAAGCTTTTAATGTTTGATGCATTATTGTATTTTAATATTTTGTTGGAAGCTGCCCAGAGTGGGTGGAGTATAAATAATAAATATACAAAGAACCATTAAACACACACACACAGCTGCACCACGGCAGGTAGCGAAATATTTATTTCATAAAACAAGGGTGGTCGTCATCATCAGCAGGGAGTTGACAAAAAAACCCTCACCCCCCACACAAAAAAATGCCAACAGTACAGTATGTGTTATTTAAAGGGGGCAAGGCTAAACAAGGACTCTAGTCTTTGTGGAACCAGATAAGGTTTGCCTCCCTCCCCAGAAAAGGGGAAGAAAATTATGCTGAAGGTTCAGAGTTTGGGGTGGGAAGGAGTGTTTTGGGGGGGGGAGAATCTAGGGACGCTTCCCAGCCCCCAAATGTAGCAAGTGACCCACAGAGTACCTAACCGAAGGGGGACAGTCACCTGGCGACTCTGCGTTGCGTTTTGTGATATATGCTGCATACGCCATGGGAGATCGTTTTTCAAACTGGTTCAAAGAAAACCCCCAAATTGGCAAAAATTGGCATTGAATGTGCAGGCAGACGGGCAACCTCTTTCCTAGGCAGCTCATTCAAAAGCCAGGAGAAAGGGGGGAAGAAAGGAGACCCCAAAAGCCATTGGAAGCACTGTCATCCTAAACATCTGAGTGAGTGGTGATTATCCAAGGGAAGGAAGGGAATACCCCCGGAAAAAATTGAAGGGGGAAAAATTAGAGCCCTCCCTGCCAAAACAAGGGACGCAGCTGGGTGAGGTTCGCCCGTCTGACTTCCAGAGGCAGCCCCTTAATTTTGGGCAGCTCGCCACTAAGAGAAGAGCATCCTTGGGTACCACTGCCAGACTTGAGCAGGGGGGAAAACAAAGGCTACCAGGAAGTGTTGGTGGAAACTTGGAAACTGCACTGGGAGGGCTCTTCCTCTCTTGGCTTCCCACTCCAGCTGGTGTTTGGGGCCTGGGCGCCATGTCCGGAGACTGGGCAGCAACCGTGAGAGTTTGGGTTTTTTTCCTCCAGTCCATGGAGCAGAATGGGGGGCTTCCATCTTAGATGTGAGGGCCACTGTGGCAGAGAAGGCAAGAGACCGCAAGGGCAGGCTGCTCAAACACAGATTTATTTTTTTTGTCAGGGCTGTGACGACACATTATATTCCAGAAACTTTTCCAATCGGAAAACGTTCGGGGCATCAATGTGGAGGGTGCGTCTTCCAACATGCCTCACTCATCGTTCCTGCGTGAGGAAGAAGTCACAGACCCCCTTCCTCAGCTTGGGACATAGGCACAAAACCAACCTCACCCATCTGGCAAAGGGTTTGGGTTTTCTGGGCCTGACAGGGCCCAATCCACCAGGAAGGTCTCTGGCCAACACCCCTCTGGACTGAACAGGAGCCGCACAAGGAGTTTGCAAGAGAACTTCCCAGGGGATGGCTGGGGATGTTTCCCTAAGTCTCTCCTCTTTGCTTATTGCGTATTATTTCTCTTCACCTGTTTTTTGGCAAGAGAGGGCGGAGAAGGATTTGACTGCAGCACGCGGTGAAATCTATCAAGGCTCCTGACATAGCCTCTATCCCTGCCTCTAAGAGCCATGGAGCCCAAACCCCAATGCAAATACGCTCCTCTCTCCCCCCTAGTATTGAAAATATTGCTCAGGGGGGCAACTCTCCTGTTCTCAACCGGGACTTGGAAGTGCGAACGCGTGAGAAACACCTCCTCAAATACACAGAGGTCTGGGCTCTAGGACGTTATCCCCACCAGAGACCCGGAACTGACAAGAACCACAAAGGCGCTTTAAATCTAGGGGTTGCTTCCTTGAAAATTTAGCTGAAGGATGCCCAAACCGTCATTTGCAGCCCTGAAGCAAAGGAATGGACTGCTCCCCATTCCCATTTCTGTAATCCTAAAACAACACTGCCCTCTTCTTGTTTGCTGATGGTTGGCGCAACTGCACAGCGCCGTGTGAATCTGAACCGCCCAATTCTGGCAGCTGTTTCAATGCCGCCGGCCAGCAGGGAACATCTGGAGAACCTGCCGGGCTGGGCTCTCGAACATCAGGCTTGGGGAAACCTCAGAAACCCCCCCTGCTTTTCAGCTCCTTTCCTGAATCCCCTTGGTGGACGCAGGTGTGTCAACCAAACCAAAGCGCAGCCCCCGTTCGCTGGGGAACGCAAACACAGGAGGCCGGTCAAGGAGGCGACAGGCCACAAGCCATGGATGGAGCGATGCCTTTCAGATTTCTATGCATCGTGGCAGCCTGCGCTACTGAGAACTCGCCAGGAGGAAGAGGGTGGGAGGAAGATTGGCCCAAGCAACCCAAGAATGAAAGCCCTGCTCTGGAGGAGCGAAGCGGAGAGCCCAGCTTTGAGATGGCGGGATCCTGCATGCTTAAGAAAAACCAAAGGGGAGAGGGGGCTTTGATGGGGTCCGTCTGGGCCAAGGATTTCCTAAAACTTCCAGGAGGGGCTGAGCAGAGAATCCTTCGCATCCACCCGTGATTTCGCAGAGAGCCGGCTTACTTCCTTCAGGGCGACGGGAAGGAGGCCCCTCCCCCCGATCCGGGGCCGGACCAGGTTGGGGGTCCGGCGGCAGAAGGTCTGGCCACGGACTGGGCCCTGGCGCCAGTTGGTCCGAGTTGGCAACTGAAAGGACGGCCGAGGAGGAGACGGAAAACACCACAGCCCTCTGGTGCAGGTTTATTTACAAGGGGAGTCGGTGCCGGGAGGACCGTCGGGGCATTAACAAGCAGGGAAAACACTGTGGAGGAAGAGAGAAAGAGAGGTAAACTCAGAGCAGAATTACGGTGCCATGTTGCCCGAGCCAGCCAACCCTCAAGCCCTGGTTCACAGGCACCACGTAATACTTGCTCCACATTTGTGAGAATGAGACGGGCCAGTCCTGGTTTCGCTCCGTCGCCCACATTCAACAGGTGCATACCATATTTTTCGCTCCATAAGACGCACCTTTTCCCTCCGAAAAGGTACAGTCATACCTTGGGATGAATACGGTACAGCTTAAATATTTTCGGGTTATGCTCCATGGCGACCCAGGAGTAACGGAGTGCGTTACTTCTGAGTTTCGCCGCTCGCGCATGCGCAGACTCTCAAAATGACGTCACGCGCATGAGCAGAAGCAGCAAAACGTGACCCGCGCACGTCCAGACACGTCTTACATTCGCTTCAGGATGCGAATGGGGCTCCGGAACGGATCCCGTTCGCATCCAGAGGTACCACTGTAAGGGGAAGTGTCTGTGCATCTTATGGAGCGAACGTGTGGTCCTTGGAGCCAAATCACCCGAGTGCGGCGCACGTCGTTGCCCCGCCCTCCCAGGCTGCCGGCGGCCTCCCCTTTCCCCTGAAGCCCCGGGAAGGTTTGGGAAGAAGAAGAGGAGTTTATATTTGATATCCTGCTTTATCACTACCCTAAGGAGTCTCAAAGCGGCTAACATTCTCCTTTCCCTTCCTCCCCCACAACAAACACTTGGGAAACCTCAGCAGGGCTGAGAGACTTCAGAGAAGTGTGACTGACCCAAGGTCACCCAGCAGCTGAAAGTGGAGGAGCGGGGAAGTGAACCCGGTTCACCAGATTACGAGTCCACCGCTCTTAACCACTACACCACACTGGCTCTCTGGTTTGGGAGTGGCGGGCAGGCTGTGCGCCGTTGCCCCACGCTCCTGGGCTGCTCTTTGGGGGTGGGGGGGTGGGAGCCCCGCCACTCTGCCAGTAGGAAGGTTTGGGAGCCATGGCCCCTGTCCGTCCCTCCACTACGGCTCGCCATGGCTCCCCTTCCTTGCCCCCTCTGCGGCTCGCTTTAAAGCAGCAAATTGCCGTCTCTCAGTGCCTCTTAATTCAACTGCAAAGGCTTGATTGCCTAACTGGATTCTGAGCTCCGTTTGAAGTTGAAAAATATTAAGTTTGGGGATTTCTTCAAGTAGCAGTTTTGCGGAACTAGTCATAAATACATGCAGAGCATCTCCACAAGCCAGTGCAGTGGTACCTGGGATTAAGTACTTCATTCGTTCCGGAGGTCCGTTCTTAACCTGAAACTGTTCTTAACCTGAGGTAATAATAATAATAATAATAATAATTTATTATTTGTACCCCGCCCATCTGGCTGGGTTTCCCCAGCCACTCTGGGCGGCTTCCATAAAAACCAAAGATACAGTAAAATATCACAGATTAAAAACTTCCCTGAACAGGGCTGCCTTAAGATGCCTTCTGAATGTCAGGTAGTTATTTATCGCTTTGACATCTGATGGGAGGGCGTTCCACAGGGCGGGCACCACTACCGAGAAGGCCCTCTGCCTGGTTCCCTGTAACTTGGCTTCTCGCAATGAGGGAACCGCCAGAAGGCCCTCGGTGCTGGACCTCAGCGTCCGGGCAGAACGATGGGGGTGGAGACGCTCCTTCAGGTATACTGGGCCGAGGCCGTTTAGGGCTTTAAAGGTCAACACCAGCACTTTGAATTGTGCTCGGAAACATACTGGGAGCCAATGTAGGTCTTTCAAGACCGGTGTTATGTGGTCTTGGCGGCCGCCCCCAGTCACCAGTCTAGCTGCCGCATTCTGGATTAGTTGTAGTTTCCGAGTCACCTTCAAAGGTAGCCCCACGTACAGCGCATTGCAGTAGTCCAAGCGGGAGATAACTAGAGCATGCACCACTCTGGCGAGACAGTCCGCGGGCAGGTAGGGTCTCAGCCTGCGTACCAGGTGGAGTTGGTAGACAGCTGCCCTGGATACAGAATTGACCTGCGCCTCCATGGACAGCTGTGAGTCCAAAATGACTCCCAGGCTGCGCACCTGGTCCTTCAGGGGCACAGTTACCCCATTCAGGACCAGGGAGTCCTCCACACGAGCCCGCCCCCTGTCTCCCAAAAACAGTACTTCTGTCTTGTCAGGATTCAACCTCAATCCATTAGCCACCATCCATCCTCCAACTGCCTCCAGGCACTCACACAGGACCTTCACTGCCTTCACTGGTTCTGATTTAAAAGAGAGGTAGAGCTGGGTATCATCTGCATATTGATGAACACCCAGTCCAAACCCCCTGATGATCTCTCCCAGCGGCTTCATATAGATGTTAAAAAGCACGGGGGAGAGGACAGAACCCTGAGGCACCCCACAAGTGAGGGCCCAGGGGTCTGAACACTCATCCCCCACCACCACTTTCTGAACACGGCCCAGGAGGAGGGAGCGGAACCACTGTATGACAGTGCCCCCAGCTCCCAACCCCTCAAGACGGTCCAGAAGGATGTTATGGTCGACGGTATCAAAGGCCGCTGAGAGATCCAGCAGAACTAGGAAACAACTCTCACCTTTGTCCCTAGCCCGCCAGAGATCATCAACCAGCGCAACCAAGGCAGTTTCAGTCCCATGGTGAGGCCTGAATCCCGATTGGAAGGGATCCAAATGGTCCGCATCCTCCAGGCGTGCCTGGAGTTGTTCAGCAACCACGCACTCAATCACCTTGCCCAAGAATGGAAGATTTGAGACTGGGCGATAGTTGGCCATACTGGCCGGGTCTAAAGATGGTTTTTTAAGAAGCGGTTTAATGACCGCCTCTTTCAGCGGATCTGGGAATGTTCCCTCACAGAGGGAAGCATTCACCACCCCGCAGAGCCCATCGCCCAGCCCTTCCCGGCTTGCTTTTATTAGCCAGGATGGGCAAGGATCAAGGAGACAGGTGGTTGGTTTCACGCGTCCAAGCAGCCTGTCCACATCCTCGGGGGTAACGGATTGAAATTGGTTCCATGCAACTTGACCAGACAGAGCTCTAGCACTCTCCCGCCCCAGCCCTGCTCCCACGGTGGTGTCTAGCTCCTTCCGAATATGAATGATTTTATCTGCAAAAAACTTTGCAAAATCGTTGCAGGAGATCTTGGGGTCTTTACAAGGCCCCGGTGGTAAAGGTGGTTCCGTTAAATTGCGAACCACCTGAAAGAGTCTCCTGCTACTATTTTCTGCAGATGCAATAGAGGCGGTGAAGAAAGTCTTCTTCGCCGTCGCTATCGCCACTTGGTAGGCTCGACGTTGAGCTCTAACCTGTGTCCGGTCAGATTCGGAGTGAGTTTTCTGCCACCGACGCTCTAGCCGTCTCAGCGATTGTTTCATCGCCCTCAGCTCCGAAGAAAACCACGGGGCTGTCCAGGCTCCATGCAATCGGAGAGGGCGCTTCGGAGCCAGACAGTCGATAGCCCTGGTTAACTCCACATTCCAGCAGGCCACCAGGGAATCAGCTGAAAGGCCAGCAACATGGGATAAAGCATCCCCTACCACTCTCTGGAAACCATTTGGATCCATTAAGTGGCGGGGGCGGACCATCCGAATTGGTCCTACCTCCCTGCAGAGGGGAAGGGTCGCGGAGAAGTCCAGTTGCACCAGGAAGTGATCTGACCATGGCACTTCTTTTGTTTCACTTTTACTTAGTGTCAGATCACCCACGTCACTAGAGGTGAACACCAGGTCTAAGGTATGTCCACGACTATGAGTTGGGCCAAACTTATTCAGGGACAGCCCCATGGAGGCCATGCTTTCCACGAAGTCCCGAGCGGCCCCTTGTAAGGTCGTGTCGGCATGGATGTTAAAATCCCCTAGGACAACCAAACTAGGTGTCTCCAGGAGAAAATCCGACACGACCTGAAGCAGCTCGGACAGGGAATCCTTGGTGCAGCGGGGAGGTTGGTACACCAAAAGGAATCCTGTACTGCCCCTATTGCCCAACTTCCAGAACATGCACTCAGAAAACTGGATCTTCCCAGTAGGACGCCCGGTGCAAGCTAGTGACTTCCTAAAAATCACTGCAACCCCCCCTCCCCGCCCACATGACCTGGGTTGCTGTGCGTAAGAGAAACCTGGTGGGCAAGCAGCGGAAAGAACAGGCCCATCTGCTTCCTCCAACCAGGTCTCTGTCACACATGCCAGGTCAAATCCTCCATCCACAATCAGGTCGTGGATGGCAGTGGTTTTATTCATCATTGACCTGGCATTGCACAGCAACACTTTCAGGTCATGTGGGTATCCCTTGCTGATTCCAGTATCCATCCGGTCAAGGCCAGACCCGGAGGCAGGGATAGTCTTCAAACAGCGACTAAACCTGCCTCCTCGGTAATGACATGGTCTGGTCTTAGCGTAACTCCGCCTCCTGCCCATGATCACCGAGATCGAATGTCCCAGTGCTTCCCCCCCTGTGGAACTTGTCCCAGCCATCGTGTTGGCTGGGGAGCCACTCCCACTTTAGCGATTTCTGTTCTCATCCTGAAGCAAAGTTCTTAAACCGAGGTACTATTTCTGGGTTAACGGAGTCTGTAACTTGAAACGTCTTTAACCTGAAGCGTCTGTAACCCAAGGTACCACTGTAAGAGTGAGCTCAGCTAAAACCGAGCAGCCACCTGGCTCAGTTTGACCTGCACAACTATTTCCATCCCATCAGTGCTATCTGGGCAAGATAATAAGTGAACTTTGGAGTTCAGTCAGATGTGATAATAATGCATTTTCTTTTTTCAGGCATTGCAGGAAACTTCCCCCCCCTCCGTTATATTTCAGGAGGGCAGGAACAGCGCCACGTGGGCGACTTTTATGCAAGGGAAGAGGCCGGTCTAGGGCTGCTTTCGCCCGACAAGCCTCACCATTGGAATCCACCGATGGGCTCTGTAAACCTGTGACGGATCAGGAACGTGGCGACGGCTTCGGCAACCTGGAAGAGAGTGGCCGGAGATGTTAAAAGAGAGAACGGAAAGGCTGGCATGTGAAGGGAGCCCTGAATAAGCCTTGCCTCCCTGCAGACTATCAAGGGCACCATATAAATTAATTTATTGATTAATTGAATAATATTCTACAGTGTTTGCAGGAGGCAGATGCTATTGCTTTGCTGTTTGTGTTTGAACTACAGTATTTGTGTTTTCATCTAGCGGTAGCTAGACTGGTGACTGGGAGCAGCAGCCGAGACCACATAACATTTGAAAGACCTACATTGGCTCCCAGTATGTTTCCAAGCACAAGTCAAAGTGTTGGTGCTGACCTTGAAAGCCTGAAATGGCTTCAGTCCAGTATTCCTGAAGGAGCGTCTCCACCCCCATCGTTCTGCCCGGACACTGAGGTCCAGCTCCGAGGGCCTTCTGGCGGTTCCCTCCTTGTGAGAAGTGAGGTTACAGGGAACTAGGCAGAGGGCCTTCTCGGTAGTGGTGCCCACCCTGTAGAATGCCCTCCCATCAGATGTCAAAGAGAACAACAACTACCAGACTTTTAGAAGACATCTGAAGGCAGCCCTGTTTAGGGAAGCTTTCAATGTTTGATGCATTACTGTATTTTAATATGTTGTTGGAAGCTGCCCAGAGTGGCTGGGGAAGCCCACCCAGATGGGTGGGGTATAAATAAATTATTATTATTATTATTATTATTATTATTATTATTATTATCATCATCATCATCATCATCATCATGTGAACCGGGCTCAGGGTGGCTAACAGCAAATATAAAACACTGCAGAGGTCGCTACAGGGCCAGGTTTAAGGTGTCGCTTTTAGCATAAAAGGTAAAGGGACCCCTGACCGTTAGGTCCAGTCGTGACTGACTCTGGGGTTGCGGTGCTCATCTCGCTTTATTGGCCGAGGGAGCCGGCGTACAGCTTCCGGGTCATGTGGCCAGTATGACTAAGCCGCTTCTGGCGAACCAGAGCAGTGCACGGAAACACCGTTTACCTTCCCGCCGGAGCGGTACCTATTTATCTACTTGCACTGGTGTGCTTTCGAACTGCTAGGTTGGCAGGAGCTGGGACAAAGCAACGGGAGCCCACAGCGTTGTAGGGATTCGAACTGCCAAACTTCTGATCGGCAAGCCCGAGGCTCTGTGGTTTAGCCCACAGCGCCACCCACATCCCTGCTCTTAGCATACAAACCCCTTAACAACTTGGGATCAGTTTACCTGCAAGATCGCCTTGCCCCACATGTGCCCACCTGACTGCTGCAGCCGGCGCTGCTACAGGTGTCCCATAATACCTGCTCTGTATTTGTAAGAACTCAATCTTTGGGTGCGACCGCTCTTATACATTTCAACTCCTTACATTTGATATCAGACAGGAGCTTTTACTATACAGACGTACCCTGGAAGTCGAACGGAATCCGTTCCGGAAGTCCGTTTGACTTCCAAAAACGTTCCGGAACCAAGGCACGGCTTCCGATTGGCTGCGGGAAGCTCCAGCAGCCAATCGGAAGCCACAGAAGTCGCGTTGGACATTCGGGTTCCAAACAACATTCGAAAACCAGAACAATCACTTCCGGTTTTCGATCGTTCAGGAGCCAAAAGGTTCCGACTCCCAAGGCTTTTGAAAACCAACGTACAACTGTACTGTTTTCGGCACCTGCTAAAAGCAAGCCAACCCATCTGCTTGGAAAGTTGACGCAAGCCGTAATAATAATTATACAGTAATAATTTATTATTTACACCCCGCCCATCTGGCTGGGTTTCGTGATCCATTAACTTTTTCCGAATGTCTTAAATTACCGTTACTGATTTTTCTCAGGGATCATTTTATGGTTTATCTTTTCTTGCTAGGGTTATTTTTTACCCCCCACTCAAGCAGGGTATAAATAAAAAATAAATACATTTTGCAAAAACAAAACATGGGGGCGAACTGTAATTCTGCCCTCAAAGCCGCAGCTGTTCCAAAACGTCACTCACTTTGTCTGGAGCATCTTCGTGGACTGCGTGGCCGCACTGCGGAAGGACTTGCATCTGGAATTTCCCTGCAAGGGGGCAAGAGAGGGTGAGGCAAGACTCCCAGAATCCTTTGCTCCCAGCCTTCTGCTTTTGACTCCATGGGTCATAGGCAGGGAGGAGGCGGTGGCAGCCCAAGACATGGTTTTTTCCTCCTAAGGTAAAGTACAGTGGTACCTTGGTTCTCAAACACCTTGGTGCTCAAACAACTTGGAACCCAAACACTGCAAACCCGGAAGTAAGTGTTCCGGTTTGCAAACTTTTTTCAGAAGCCGAACATGCTCTGTTTTGAGTGTTACGCTGAGGTCTGTCTGTTTTGCTATTTATTTTGCACTTTTGTTTTTGCAGCTCTTTTTTGTGACTGTGTGGAACCTAGTTCAGCTACTGATTGTGTGACTGTAGTAAATTGTTGACTGCTTTCATTTTTATGGATCAATGGTCTCGTTAGATAGTAAAATCCATTTTAAATTGCTGTTTTAGGGGTTGTTTTTAAAAGTCTGGGACGGATTAATCCCTTTTGCATTGCTTTCTATGGGAAAGCACGCCTTGGTTTTGGAACGCTTTGGTTTCAGAATAGACTTCCAGAATGGTTTAAGTTTGAGAACCAAGGTACCACTGTACCTACTTAAAATCTTGCATTGGTTCACAGGACGAACAATGACTATCATCAGTGCAGGTAAGGGGGAAAAAATTTATTTTTTATCTTCTACAATACCATCTTATTTATTTTATAGTACAGTACATTGATTATTGCTTTCATTTTACGGATCAGTGGTCACATTAGATAGTAAAACGTTAAATTGCTGTTTTAGGGGTTGTTCTTAAATGTCTGGAACGGATTAACCCCTTTTGCATTACTTTCTATGGGAAAGCGCGCCCTGGTTTTGGAACGCTTTGGTTTTGGAACGGACGTCCGGAACGGATTAAGTTTGAGAACCAAGGTACCACTGTAGATGGATGCCACCCTGCATCCCACATACAAAAGCTGACTGAACCAACAGTGGACCCCACTGTGACGTTAACATATGAGAGTGCTGGAGGAGAAATAGTTAAATAGGTTACCCAATCAGGACCCAGGGGGTGGAGTCAGAGGGGCTATAAATTCAGCTCTGGGAGGGGCAAAGGGAGGAGTTCGTTGGGAGGTTGGTTGGAGTGGGAGTGAATTGAGATAGAGTCTGTGGGTAGGTTGAGTTAGTGTAGCGAACTACGCTGAGTCAAGAACAGTTAGGAGCTAGGAAGACAAGTCAATACAGTGGTGCCTCGCAAGACGAAATTAATTGGTTCCGCGAGTTTTTCCGTCTTGCGATTTTTTTCGTCTTGCGAAGCACGGTTTTGGGAAAGTTTTGGAAAAGCTTCAAAAATCACCAAAGTCTTCAAAAACCTCAAAAAAGGCTACCACACCTCGTTCTATGAGTTGCTCCTCAAGTCAAGTCGCAACTGTATTAACGGTGTTAAGAAAAAGGAAACAAACTTGCAAGACGTTTCCGTCTTGCGAAGCAAGCCCACAGGGAAAATCGTCTTGCGAAGCAACTCAAAAAACCAAAAACCCTTTCGTCTTGCGAGTTTTTTGTCTTGCGAGGCATTCGTCTTGCGAGGTACCACTGTATCTGAGAGGTGGTTTAATGAGTGAGAGCAGGTAGCGGAAGTTATAGGTCTGGATAGGCACCCCATGAATGTAATTGACCGATACCGTTTATGAAACCACACGCTTGATACAACTGCAATAAATAAACAGAAGTTTATGTTCCAATTTAACCCTGACTGGACTCAGTATTGTACCGGGTAGGACCTGGGTGGTGGTAAAAGCGACCCCTGACCATTAGGTCCAGTCGTGACCAACTGGGGTTGCGGCGCTCATCTCGCTTTACTGGCCGAGGGAGCCGGCGTTTGTCCACAGACAGCTTCCAGGTCATGTGGCCAGCCTGACTAAGCCGCTTCTGGTGAGCCAGAGCAGAGCACGGAAACGCCATTTACCTTCCCGCCGGAGCGGTACCTATTTATCTACTTGCACTTTGACGGGCTTTCGAACTGCTAGGTTGTCAGGAGCAAGGACCGAGCAACAGGAGCTCACCCCATTGCGGGGATTCGAACAGCCAACCTTCTGATCGGCAAGTCCTGGGCTCTGTGATTTAACCCACAGCGCCACCCGCATCCCTGGGTGGTGATAGCGAGAAATAAATTGGTGGCACAGGGATCAATAGAAGGTGAAATGTCCGGGGATCCTGTGTGATCGCCACACCCACCAGTAATGGGATAGCATCCTCCAGCACAACTGGGGAGCAGCAGCAGCCGCTTAGCTGAGGAATCTCTGCGTGAGAGGCATCAGGAGCTTGTCTCACTCTGCACCCGAGGCCACCTGAATTCCGCAAACCCAAATGCTGCAATGGTCTACATGCAAGTTACGGGGATTTGCATTCTGGGTGGGGCAAAGCACCCAGGAGGAGTGCCAAAGCCCACCCACAACCGATGGAAATTTCAGTGCAGCTTCCTCCCAGGTTTCTGGGATTAAATGCACTTTCAAACGTATCTGGTCAGGCTTAAGGACTAGGAACTTGTCTCCATCCTTTAAACCAGGCATGTCCAACAGGTCGATCGCGATCTACTGGCCTGTCACAGGATGTCCCTGGTCGATCTTTGTTTTTTGTGTTAATGTAATATTTATTAAATCCTGGTTGATCTGTGGACCCCCTGAGAAATCCCCACCAAAAACAAACAAGAAAAACAACAACTCAACAACTCTGGCTCCCCAAAAATGGCTCAACAACCTGGTCAATCCTTCAATGACAATGGGTAAATCAATGCCAGTTCTTTTATACTGTGAGTAGATTGCAGTTGGGAGTTGGACATGCCTGCTTTAAAGGTAAAGGTACCCCTGCCCGTACGGGCCAGTCTTGCCAGACTCTGGGGTTGTGCGCCCATCTCACTCAAGAGGCCGGGGGCCAGCGCTGTCCGGAGACACTTCCGGGTCACGTGGCCAACGTGACATTGCTGCTCTAGTGAGCCAGAGCCGCACACGGAAACGCCGTTTACCTTCCCGCTGGTAAGCGGTCCCTATTTATCTACTTGCACCCGGGGGTGCTTTCGAACTGCTAGGTTGGCAGGCGCTGGGACCGAGCAGCGGGAGCGCACCCCGCCGCGGGGATTCGAACCGCCGACCTTTCGATCGGCAAGCCCTAGGCGCTGAGGCTTTTACCCACAGCGCCACCCGCGTCCCAATTAAATAATCCGAATTAAATAATTAAATAATATAATTATTTAAATATTTAAATATTTAAATATTTAATTAGTTATTTAAATAATATAATTATTTAATTATATTATAATTATAATTAAATTAAATAATCCCAATTAAATAATCCCAATTAAAAAAAATAATCCGAATTAAAAAATGGCACTTTGGAACGGCAGCATGCGTTCAGACAACACCCTAGTCCCCAGCTTGAAGAACTCTAATTGCCAAGCAAAGGGCCGATCTATCGGAGGTCATTGTTTGAATGACATTATCCAGAACTGGCTACCACCGTCCCTGCCTCCTGCTAGATCCCTCAAAAGGCAATCCCCGTGATCCTCTTGGAAACCAATCAGAGCCAGGACATCAGCATATTTACCTTGCATCTGGCCAATGGTTAGATCTTTATCCAGTCTGTCGACACCTAAAAAACGATTCCAGGGCACAGGGAAAGAGAGAGACGGAAGAGAAGGGTTTTTTTAAAAACGTTTCAAGTTATTTTGCCCTGCTGGAAGTCCTGCAAAGGGGGGGGGTGTGGAGGAGAAGAGAAGGGGTGAAGCATAATCCAGAACTTGCTGGAATTGCTGTTTGTAGTGGTCATGTGGGACTGCTATGAGGAATTATGAAAAATGAAGCAAGCCATTGTGTCCGCGGTGAAAGCATTGCTTTGACTGGGTTTGGGTCATTGACATGATTTCTGATCAATCCCACAAGCCTCTGTGTCTCTGCCCCATTTTCTCTATGCCTGACAGTCACGTGTAAAGCATACTAACACAGACCAGGCCTCCTGGGTACATAAAAATAAGGAGGTAGCTTTGATGTAGCTTTTGTTAATCTTTAGGTAGAACTTAGGGCCAGGAACAGAGTTCACATGGAGGTGGTAAAATGCCTGTCTTTAAGGTAAAGGGAAAGGGACCCCTGACCATTAGGTCCAGTCGTGACCAACTCTGGGGTTGCGGCGCTCATCTCGCTTTAATGGCCAAGGGAGCCGGCGTACAGCTTCCCGGTCATGTGGCCAGCATAACTAAGCCGCTTCTGGAGAACCAGAGCAGCGCACGGAAATGCCATTTACCTTCCCACTGGAGCGGTACCTATTTATCTACTTGCACTTTGTGCTTTCGAACTGCTAGGTTGGCAGGAGAAGTACCGAGCAACGGGAGCTCACCCCATCGCAGGGATTCGAACCGCCAACCTTCTGATCAGCAAGTCCTAGGCTCTGTGGTTTAACCAACAGCGCCACCTGCACCCCCAGCCTAAACATGTATGCATGCTCAAATAATACATAGTTCTTTGTAGTTAAGAGGCTTCCTCTGATCTGACTTTATCCCCACGTGGGATTTTTTGAAATGCTCAGAGGAAATCTGATTGGTTCTTACAAAGGCTTTGTTAAAGTTCTTTTGTGAATAAAAACGACCTGGGCCAGGGAGTGGGATACACACTTTCTCCCAGTTTCTTACAGGTCAAGCCTCGTGTCTATTGTATTAAACAGGGTCCAGTCCTTCCTTTGCCTTCAGAACACAACACTGTTTTATTAAGGACAGGGGACAAATTACAGGGCTCAGGGACGTTCTCTCTGCCCATCAACTTAAAAAAAGACGCCAAAAGCCAAATTAGAATACGTGAAACATTTTTTGCACAACCGCCTCCCTTACAACAGTTGTGGTGGCTGGTGGGAGTTGTAGTCCAAGGCCGTTTACCTTTTTATTTTTAGTTGTTGCTTCGTTAACAGTGTTTTACAGACAGTAATGTTTTCACAACGGTGATTTCTTAATTGTTCTACGTTATTTATGCTGCATTTGCGATGATCTGTTCATGTTCCGTCACACTATATTGATTTATGGTGTGTGAGCCGCTTTGGGATTCATTTGAACAAAAAACAGCGTAGAAATATAAGAAATAAAATCTATGGGCAGAATTGGCACAACCACAGGTTCCGCTTTTGGGTCGTTTACAGTGTGTCAGCACCCGAACTTTGAAACTTCCTGCCTATTGAGATCAAGGAGCCTTCTCTGTACTCTTTACGGAGCCTGCTAAAAACATTCAGACAAGCCTACCACGATGCTTAAGAAACTCATGGCGATTTTAATGTTTTTCTGTGTGTTTTAAATTGCCGTAGCGATTTTTTCTTGATTTTCTTGTTTTATTCTTCTGGTAAACCGCTTTGATTGTGTTTTTTCTTCATCTTCTTTTTAGACAAGTGGCGTGTAAATTTTAAGAAATACAGTGGTACCTCAGTTTTCGAAACAGCTTAGTTCTCAAATTACTTGGAACCCGAACACTGAAAACCCGGAAGTGAGTGTTTGAGTCCTGAGCTTCCGTTTTTAGTGTTGCGCTGCTAATTTGCTTCCTGCCAATGTAATTGAAAGGATTTGCTGAATTAACTTACTGAACTGGAATAACAAAAAGGGGAGTGTGAGGAGGTCAGGGAAACAAGTGAATGAAAGACAAGATATGGAAAGATTGATTTGTTTTTAATTGTTTTACTTTTTGTATTTTGTATTCTCTTTTCTCTTTTTATTCTTTTTTTTACTACTGTAATTTTTTTTGAAATTTTAATAAATATCTTATTAAAAAAAAAAGTTCCTCTTCCGTTTTTAGTGTTGCACTGCTAATTTGCGTCCTAACCATTCCGACAGAAAGTCTTCCGTTTCTAATTGCAGTGTTCTGGGGTGATATTTGGAGCTTATATTTGGTGCTTTGTTTTGCATTTATATTTATTGGCGTTATTGTTTGTGTGGCTTTTTCGTTTCTGTGACTGTGTGGAACCCAATACAGCTAGAGAATGACTGACTGTGCGACTGCAGAAATGGATAAAAGCAGCAAAGGCAAGAGAACCATTAACATTGTTTATTGCTTTCATTTTGTGGATTAATGGTCACATTAGATAGTAAAATTCATGTTAGATTGCTGTTTTAGGGATTGGATTGTTAATCTTCTGGAACGGATGAATCCCTTTTGCACTACTTTCTATGGCAAAGTGCGACTTGGTTTCGGAAAGCTTTGGTTGAATGGATCTCCGGAAACGGATTAAGTTTGAGAACCGGAGTACCACTGTAAAATGCTGAATAAATAGAACGGGAGAAGAGCCCAGACATCAGAATTGACCGTCCTGTAGAGTGTAATATCAGAGATGTAGGGATCAGATGATTACTATGAGAATTATAAAATAATAAAAAAATAATAAAATAATAACACACAAACAAACAACAACAACAACATACACCAACAACAACAACAACAACAACAATAAATAATAAATAATTATTATTTACCCCGCCCATATCTCGGTTTCCCCCCACTCTGGGTGGCTCCAACAAAGATAAAGATACACTAAAATGAACATATTAAAAACTTCCCTGAACAGGGCTGCCTTCAGATGTCTTCTGAATGTCAGGTAGATGTTTATTGCTTTGAAATCTGATGGGAGGGCGTTCCACAGGGCGGGCGCCACTACCGAGAAGGCCCTCTGCCTGGTTCCCTGTAACTTGGCCTCTCGCAGCGAGGGAACTGCCAGAAGGCCCTCGGAGCTGGACCTCAGTGTCCGGGCCAAACGATGGGGGTGGAGACGCTCCTTCAGGTATACTGGACCGAGGCCGTTTAGGGCTTTAAAGGTCAGCAACAACACTTTGAATTGTGCTCGGAAACGTACTGGGAGCCAATGTAGGTCTTTCAAGACCGGTGTTATGTGGTCTCGGCGGCCGCTCCCAGTCACCAGTCTAGCTGCCGCATTCTGGATTAGTTATAGTTTCCGGGTCACCTTCAAAGGTAGCCCCACGTAGAGCGCATTGCAGTAGTCCAAGCGGGACATCAAGCCATTGTGTCAGCTATGAAAGCATGGTGTTGACTGGGTTCGATTCATTGACAATAATTTCTGATCAAATCCCACAACCCTCTGCATCTCTGGCCATTTCCTCGACTGTCCATTTCTCATTCTTGACAAGTCACGTACGCAGCCCAGTTGCTTCGCCAGGCATGCATCCTGGGCCATAAAAGTGGGCAGTTTCTTTGATGTAGCTTTTCTGATATGTTAATCTTAGGATACTAATCTTAGGACCAGGAAACAGATTTTCACATGAAGGTGATAACGATCACTGTCCTCCTGGCCATCCTTATCATGTATATTACTTGTTTATGAGCTCCAGGGTTGCTGGATGCACTCCTTTGTAGTTCTGTTATATTTACCCCAGAAGTTGTTGTTGTTGTTTAGTCATGTCCTACTCTTCGTGACCCCATGGACCAGAGCATGCCAGGCACTCCTGTCTTCCGCTGCCTCCCGCAGTTTGGTCAAACTCATGCTGGTAGCTTCGAGAACACTATCCAACCATCTCGTCCTCTGTCGTCCCCTTCTCCTTGTGCCCTCCATCTTCCCCAGCATCAGGGTCTTTTCCAGGGAATCTTCTCTTCTCATGAGGTGGCCAAAGTCTTGGAGCCTCAGCTTCAGGATCTGTCCTTCCAGTGAGCACTCAGGGCTGATTTGATCTTGTTGCAGTCCATGGGACTCTCAAGAGTCTCCTCCAGCACCAGAATTCAAAAGCATCATTTTTCGGTGATCAGCCTTCTTTGTGGTCCAGCTTTCACTTCCATACATCACTACTGGGAAAACCATAGCTTTAACTACACGGACCTTTGTCAGCAAGGTGATGTCTCTGCTTTTTAAGATGCTGTCTAGGTTTGCCATCGCCTTTCTCCCAAGGAGCAGGCGTCTTTTAATTTCGTGACTGCTGTCACCATCTGCAGTGATCATGGAGCCCAAGAAAGTAAAATCTCTCACTGCCTCCATTTCTTCCCCTTCTATTTGTCCCAGAAGTATGCCAGCTTAATTAGCTTTTGTAGTGTAACTTTGTCCCCACGAGGGGTTTCTTGAAATGCTCAGAGGAAATCTGATTGGTTCTTACAAACACGGTGTAAAAAGTTCTTTTGTGAATAAAACGACCTGGGCCGGATGGTGGACAGGAATTATTATTAAACACACCATTCCCAGAGTCTTGCTGGTTCAAGCCTCTGTGTGTATTCTTATTAATCAGAGTTCAATCCTTCCTTTGCTTTGGGAATGCCTCAGTACCTGGCTGCAGAATGCTACCTGTAAAAAAAAACACCCTTCCTCCCTCACAGGGCAGACAAAGCCAGGGCAATCTGACCTGTGAACAGTGACAAGGAGACTCTCCACAAGGAATTGGGGGGGGGTGTCTTTGTGGGGCTTGCAGAAGAAAGCGAAGCGAGAAATACACTTACCGGCCAAAAGCAGCAGCTTGGGAACAGAGCAGTTGAGGAAGAGGTTCGAAAGGCCCCGGAACCAACCATCCCAGTACGTTTCCGTTTTCGCCAGCTCAATCCGCCATGTGTAGGCCACATCCTTCTTGGTCTTTTTTTCAGGGTGGGGTAGGGGGGAAAGAAAATGTCCGCTTTAAAACGCCAGAAACACATCATGCGAGCGTTGAGTTGCAGTCCTCCAGATCCAGAGGACTACAACTCCCATCATCCCTGACCGCTGGGGCAAGGCTGATGGGAGATGGAGCCCGGAAGTGCAGGAAGGCTGCAATGTTTTCCCAAACCCTGATGTATCCCAGACCGGATCCATGGAAGCGTAAGAGGAGGGGAAGGTTGCCATTAATATTATTCCGAGCACAATTCAAAGTGTTGGTGTTGACCTATAAAAGGTAAAAGGTAAAGGACCCCTGGACGGTTAAGTCCAGTCAAAGGCGACTCTGGGGTTGCAGCACTCATCTCGCTTTCAGGCCGAGGGAGCCGGCGTTTGTCCACAGACAACTTTCCAGGTCGTGTGGCCAGCAGGAGTAAACTGTTTCTGGCGCAACAGGACACCGTGACGGAAACCAGAGCGCACAGAAATGCCGTTCACCTTCCTGCCGCAGCGGTACCTATTTATCTACTTGCACAGGTGTGCTTTCAAACTGCTAGGTTGGCAGAAGCTCAGACAGAAAACACTGTAAACTGTATGAATGTTAAGATGATGTAAGAGTAAGAATAAATGTGGCATCAGTAAGTTAGTTGATCAGAGTTCGAGAATAGATGAGATTCGAGAAAAAGTTAATTTATTGGTTAATATGTCTATTTAAGTACTTAAGATTTTGGAAAATAAATTTAAAATCGGAAGACATAATATGGGAAAAATATAACTAAGGAATTGAAACAAGGTGATAATTTGCTGACTAGAATTTTATGAAGTTGGAAAGCAGGAACGAAAGACGAGAGGAAGTCCAAAGGTGATGAAAATAAGAACTTAATGACGATGTAATAACTTTTTCTTTTTTCTTCTGTATGTTTCTCTTTGTTTTTTTCTTTTTTGGTTGTTTATTGTATTGTTGGGGAGGGGATTATGTGTTGGTGGATAAATGTTTTGAAAATTCTGAATAAAAAATTTTCAGAAGAAAAAAAAGAAGCTCAGACAGAACAAGGGGAACTCACCCCCGTTGCAGGGATTTGAACCCTAAATGGCTTATACCTAGTATACCTGAAGGAACGTCTCCACCCCCATCATTGAACCCGGACACTGAGGTCCAGCTCCGAGGGCCTTCTGGCGGTTCCCTTCCTGAGAGAAGTGAGGTTACAGGGAACTAGGCAGAGGGCCTTCTCGGTGGTGGCGCCCGCCTTGTGGAACTCCCTCCCACCAGATGTCAAGGAAATAAACGACGACTTGACTTTTAGAAGACATCTGAAGGCAGCCCTGTTTAGGGACGTTTTTAATGTTTAATGCTGTATTGTGTTTTTAATATTTGGTTGGGAGCCCCCCAGAGTGGCTGGGAAAACCCAGCCAGATAGGCGGGATATAAATAATATATTGTTGTTGTTGTTGGGCGGGGTATAAATAATATGTTGTTGTTGTTCCCACGAGACTGTTTTCATTCAAAACAGTCTGTTCCCCAAAGCCTGTTGGTCTTCACTTGCCAGCAGGAGGACAGCAAGGAAGGAGCCAGTCTGACTTCTCCAGGCAGGGAGTTTCAAAGTTGCCTGGGAGAAGCCACTGCTGAGAAGACCCTGTCTTCCCTGAAGGGCCTCCCTAAAGTTCTCCAAACTCCGGCAGGTTCTTATGGGGAAATACAGTCCTTCAGATAACATGGACCTGAGCCATATAGGGCTTCATAAATCATAACCAGCCCTGTATTTAACCAGGCATCTGCAGGCAACCCTGGTTTGATCTTTTAACATGTTTTTAATATTCTGCTGGGAGCTGCCCAGAGTGGCTGGGGGAACCCAGCCAGATGGGCAGGGTACAAATATACTATTATTACCATTATTATTATTATTATTATTATTATTAGGCTGCTAAAGAAGTATTCAGAGGTCGTGGGGAAAGAGAGAAGAGGCAGCCTGTGGGTCAGGGATGGGGAATACCTGTGATTCTGTAGCTGTTACTATACAGTGGTACCTCTGGTTAAGAACTTAATTTGTTCTGGAGGTCCGTTCTTAACCTGAAACTGTTCTTAATCTGAGGTACCACTTTAGCTAATGGGGCCACACCGCCGCCGTTCGATTTCTGTTCTCATCCTGAAGCAAAGTTCTTAACTGAGGTACTATTTCTGGGTTAGCGGAGTCTGTAACCTGAAGTGTCTGTAACCTGAAGCGTCTGTGACCCAAGGAACCACTGTACTCTGACCCCATCACCCCTGCCTGACAGCCCAACAACAGCCAGAGGCCCGCGGTTATTCTCCCAATCCTGACAAGATGCCTTCCTCACCTCTGTGTCATCATCCTTCTTCCTTTTGTTCATGGATTCTCCATTTTCGTCTTCCTCCTCCTCTTCCTCCTCCTCTATGATCCCCTCCACAATGGTTTTGGGACCTCCAGGGCTGGCCGCACCTTCACACCTGGTTCAAAGGAACAACAAGGAGTGAAGGAGACCTGGACAAGAAGACCCCCAAGTCAATTTGAAAAGCTCCACCTAGGCCTTAATGAGACAGGGGGAAATACCAGCGTGTTACATAGGAAACTGAAGTTATCACACCCGATGTAGCTCCCATAATTTTTAGTTTTGGTTTCCGGAATCCCAGGGGCAGAATGCACTGCTTCCTTCCCCAGGTGAGGATGTGGGATTTCTGTAAAACTCATTGATTCCCTCCCCCTCTTTCTTTTTTTCCTTTCTGTACTTTAATGTTTTAATGTTGTATTTTAATCTTGTTTTTAAGTTGCATTCATTCAACTTGTTTTTATTATTGGTTGTTAGCCGCCCTGAGCCCGGCCTTGGCTGGAGAGGGCAGGGTATAAATAAAATTTATTATTATTATTATTATTGTCCGTGAGGCCGGCGTCATGGACGCAAGACTGCAGTCTGACCACAAAACTGGTAAAAGCCAGTTGAGCGGGGAACCTAATAGCAGAATGCCAGAGTGAAAAACAACTCCAGATAAGGTACAGGGAGGGTTCTAAGAAATACAAACTCCTTGGCTCCCGAACAAATCAGCTCCCGGACTGATTTGTGAGTGTTCCAGTTTCCTAACATTCTTTTGGAAGCCGAACATCCGACGGGGCTTCTGATTGGCTGCAGGAGCTTCCGCGCTTTGGTTTCCGAACATTTTGGAAGTCGAACGGACTGATTTATTTTTGCTGTACAGTTGTACCTTGGAAGTTGAATGGGTTCCGACTTCCAAGGTATGACTGTACAGCAAAAATATATCAGTTGAGTAAAGTTGAATTTTGAGGACTGTGGTTGGATGAAGAGTTAGGTGGAACAGCTCAGAATATGTACATTTTTCCTATATAGAGTGCATCGTAACGCAAAGATCTTACAGATTCTTAGGTCTTTGTCCTATAAAGCATTACTGAATAAAGTCTGACCAACTGGATAAGTGGTGTGAGCCTCTGTACTTGAACCCCCAAGGAAAATTTCTCCCAAAATGGGGTAACAGGGATTAAGTGGCATGGAAGTACCATATTTTTTGCTCTATAAGACTCACTTTTTCCCTCCTAAAAAGTAAGGGGAAATGTGTGTGCGTCTTATGGAGCGAATGCAGGCTGCGCAGCTATCCCAGAAGCCAGAACAGGAAAAGGGATCGCTGCTTTCACTGCGTAGCAATCCCTCTTGCTGTTCTGGCTGCTGGGATTCAGAATATTTTTTTTCTTGTTTTCCTCTTCCAAAAACTAGGTGTGTCTTATGGTCTGGTGTGTCTTATAGAGTGAAAAATACAGTATTTAAAGATAAAGGTTTGGATTTGGAAGACTGCAATGTGGTCCCACTCAAAACATGGCTTTCAAGCCCCACTCCCCCAATATTCCTACTACGCTTCAGAAAAAGTCACAGCGCCCGGCTGTCCAGCAAAGGGGAGGCAACTTCCGAGTCAGAATTCTATGTATTGTTAAAGTATTTTTTGGTTGTGCCTTTCAAAAATAATGCCCGCATAATTCCTTTTGCTCCTTCTGCTGTGGCTGATAACCCTATGCTGCCTTTGATGTTTATTATCTACAGACACCCCCCCCAAAAAGAAAATAAAAATCTAAACTAACTGACTGGGGTTCCTCAGTGGAATTTGGGGAGAGCACACACACTGCTAAGTTGCAATCCAACCCCAGAAGATCGGCTCCTGAGGGAATGTCACAGCCATGACGAGAAGCTCTCCCACCATCATTTCACACAAAAACGGGGCAGAAAGAGACAATAAAAGGCAACAGAAGAAGGCACGACTTACTGTTTGACTTGGCCAACCATAGAAACCCTGGCAGATTCAAGATTCCGTATCTGTCCGCTCTTTACACTAGAGAAAGAGAAAAGGAAACAGCCATTAGATGAGGGTTAGTTACTGCCAGGGTGGATAAAAATCAATTTATTTATTTTTATTTAATTTTTTTATTTTTTGGATTTAAATTGGATTTTTTGGATTTAAATTGGATTTTAAAAAAAATGCGTTTGGAGGGCAAATCTTTTTAAAGATCGTTTTCTATTTAAGTTACATTATAGTCCAAAGGCTATTGTTCAGGAAATAAGGATTTGTTTTAAGTTTTTCATGTGTGCTAAAACTCAGTCTAAGGTTTGTCCATTTTTTGTTTTTTTTTAATTAACCACATCAGTTAACAAACATGGATACTATAGTGTTATTGTTTTAGTTCAATAAATTGTTTCAATTGAGGAAATTGTTATTTTTCTCCTTCCAATAAAGTACAACAGAAAAGTTGTCCAAATATAAACAGTTAACTTATTAAACCTCACAATAATTTCATAATTATCTGTCAGTGTATTTCTAATAGTATAACCAAATCAGTAATTTTTGATATAACTGTAAAAACTACTCTGAAAATTTATTATTCCAAAAATGAAACCTTCATCTGGTTGTAAATATTAAGATTATACCAGCAAGAATGAGTCTTTATGTAAAAAAAGATTTAAATCAAGTCTTACTGACTAGTGATTGAAATTGTGATTGAAATTGTGATTGAAATCAATTTGATTTAAACCAAATCCACCCTGGTTACTGCCTGCTGCTTTTTAGCAGAGCTCAGAAAGCAAAGAATCACTTTCCCTACAGGGAACAGCTAGATTTTAAAACCAATGGAAAACCTATGGAGCCAAGTTACGGATTGTTTGCAGTATCACCAGTTACATGATATGTTTAAATTAGATAGAAAGAATGGATTTTTGGACCAAAGTTCACAATTTGAAAAAGAACTCCTGCAAAATCAGGATAAACTTATGTCTAAAATGTGTAATTTTTTATTAGAATGGGAAGTAAAAGACGAGCTTGTTAAAGGTTCAATGACATAAAGGTAAAGGTAAAGGGACCCCTGACCATTAGGTCCAGTCGTGACCGACTCTGGGGTTGCAGCACTCATCTCGCTTTATTGGCCGAGGGAACCGGCGTTTGTCTGCAGACAACTTCCGGGTCATGTGGCCAGCAGGACTAAGCCGCTTCTGGCGAACCAGAGCAGCGCACAGAAACGCTGTTTACCTTCCCGCCGGAGCGGTACCTATTTATCTACTAGCACTTTGATGTGCTTTCGAACTGCTAGGTTGGCAGGAGCAGGGACCGAGCAATGGGAGCTCACCCCGTCACGGGGATTCGAACCGCCGACCTTCTGATCAGCAAGTCCTAGGCTCTGTGGTTTAACCCACAGCGCGACCCGCGTCCCTTCAATGACATACTGGGCAATAGATACAGATCACAATACAGATCTTAACCTCTGGGAGAAACTGAGAGAAAGCGACCAGAAATTGACAGCGTGCTATTCATTGAAAGAGAGCTATTTAAAAATGATTCATAGATGGTAAACTCCGAGTAGGTTGGCTAAGATTTATAGAACAGAATCAGATTAGTGTTGGAAGTGTAAAGAGGTAGAGGGAGCGTTCTTCCACATGTGGAGGACGTGTAAAAAAGTAAAAGGGTATTGGGAAATTATTTATAATGAACTGAAAGAAAACTTTTAAAATTACTTTACCCCCAAAAATGAAGTCCTTTTCGTTTGGGATAACTCAGACTGAAATTCCCAGGTGTCAGAAAAGGTTATTTATGTACGCAGCAACTGCGGCCCGTGTTCTGTTAGCCCCAAAATGGAAAGGTGAGTAAGGTCCCAACCCAAGAGGATGGGCAACTGAAGTTGACGGAATATGCAGAACTTGCAGATTTAACATATAGAATAAAAGAGCAAGAACATACGTTTGAAGAAGACTGGAAAACATTTATTGAATACCTGGAAAATAACTGTATGCAGCTGAAAACGCTGGCAGCATTAAGATAAATTCAACAGAGTAAATCATTTTTGATGGATGTAAAAGTGGAAAACTGATTTGAATGCTCATAGTAAAATACTCAGGGACGCGGGTGGCGCTATGGGCTAAACCACTGACCCTCTTGGGCTTGCCGATCAGAAGGTCGGCGGTTCGAATCCCCACGACGGGGTGAGCTCCCGTTGCTCGGTCCCTCTCCTGCCAACCTAGCAGTTCGAAAGCATGTTAAAGTGCAAGTAGATAAATAGGTACCAATCTGGCGGGAAGGTAAACGGTGTTTCCGTGCGCCGCTCTGGTTCTCCAGAAGCGGCTTAGTCATGCTGGCCACATGACCCGGAAGCTGTACGCCGGCTCCCTCGGCCAGTAAAGCGAGATGAGCGCCGCAACCCCAGAGTCGGCCACAACTGGACCTAATGGTCAGGGGTCCCTTTACCCTTTACTAGTAAAATACCCTTTACTAGTAAAATACCCTTTACTAGTAAAATACCCTTTACTAGTAAAATACCCTTTACTAGTAAAATACTCAGGGGTGTACGATATGTAAAATGAACCATGGAAAGAGAAGAAGGGAAGTCACTGGATATTTTAAAGTTCGTAAAATGCTTACTTGAAATTGTAAAATAGGAAATTTAATTTAAAAATTATATATATATAGAGAGAGAATCGCTTTCCTAGTAGAGGAGACTGTAAATGGGCTCCCTTTGCGATGGGCGGCGTACGACGCCCAAAGTTTCCCTTTTACCTCCATTCGATGGCATTCTCCAGAGATTTGAATGTCTTTGGGCGACTCCGAAGGAAATTCTGCATGCTGTTGAGGGCATCCATGGCTGTGCCTATGAACAAGAAAGGGGGAGAATCTGGCATGAAGCAAACCAGTGTTTTACAGAGGAGATGATATCCAAACCTACATAACTGTGACTGGGATGAAATCAAGGGTGCCCATTCATACTCCCCCATCCTTATACCCCCATAGAAGTGTTTCCTTTTGAATCATGAGGTCTAGAAACTTACTTGCTTTTTTTAAAAAAAAGTTTCTAGGCCTTGCGATTTAAATAGAAAAACTGCCTAGGTCCCAACTAAAGAAGAATGGCAACTAAAGCCAACAGAATATGAGCTGCTTTGCAGACCTAACATATAGAATAAGAGAACAAGAAGAACATACCGTATTTTTCGCTCTATTGGACGCACCGGGCCATAGGAGGGGGAGAACAGGGAAAAAAAACTTTTTCTTCTTGTTCTCCCCCTCTAAGTCAAGGTGTGTTCTGTGCGTTCAAGGTGCGTTCACCCGAAGCCTCCGGAGCCCAGCGGGAGTTCCCGCTGGGCTCTGGAGGCTTTGGGTTCCTTTCGACCTGCTCTTTGGGGCTGGCGGGGGGGGGGGGGAGCGCTGCTTTCCCCACCGCCAGCCTCCAAACCAGATCGGGTTTGGAGGCTGCTATCCGCAAGCCTTGGGAGCCCGGCGGGAACTTCCGCCAGGCTCCCCAGGCCTGCGGATATCTGCCCGAAGCCCGGGCGCGCTGCTCAGCGCGCCCCAGGCTTCAGGATGCAGGCTGCTATCTGCAAGCCTTGGGAGCCCAGCGGGCACTCCTGCCGAGCTCCCAAGGCTTGCGGATAGCTTCCTGAAGAGATTTTGCGCACCGACCCCTCTCGCTCTCCAGGCTTCAGCGAAAGCCTGCATTCGCCCCATAGGACACACACACACATTTCCCCTTCATTTTTGGAGGGGAAAAAGTGCGTCCTATAGGGCGAAAAATACGGTACGTCCAAAGAAGATTGGAAAGCGTTTATTGAATATATGTAAAGACTGGCAGCATTCAGATAAATTCTGAATGGCAGCAAGACTAATGGCTGAGTAAGAGGAAAGGAACAGAGGGAACAAGCGCCAAGTGATGCCGACTCTTACCTTCCACTACGTCAATCATGCAGAGGCCCAGCAAACTGGGCACCAGGTTGGACGCTGCCGTGTGCACAGCGATAGCCCCGCCCATGCTGTGGCCAATCAGCATGATGGGCGGGGCGAGGTCCCCATACATGACTTCCACCACGCTTCCGACGTCCCTGCAAAAAAGAAAGGCACAAGCTGGTTGCTCCTTCCTTGCACACAGGAGAATACTTGGAATCACAGAATGGTCGAACAGGAAAGGACCCCAAGGGCCATCTAGTCCAACCCGCTGCAAACCAGGGATCTTTTGCCTAAGGCGGCACTCGAACCCGCAACCCTGAGATTAAGAGTCTCCGGCTCAACCTTCTGAGCGATCCCTTATTTACTTGCATGGGCCAGAGCTCAGAGACAGAACATCTGCTTTGCAAGTGGAAATCCTCTCCCAGTAGGCGTGTCTGAAACTCTGGGGAGCTGCTGCCAGTCAGTGTTGGAGACACAGAACTAGACTGACCCGCAGTTTGCATGTCACCTTGAGCTCCTTGAAGAAAAAGCTGGGAGTCAATGAAAGAGGTGCGGACAGGTGACCCCACCTAGGCCCGAAGTCACCCCAGGCCTCAAAACCAAATTTCCCCTTTCTCTCTTCTAAAAAATCCACAGCTTCTGCTTTTCTCTGCTTTCTCACAAGATGCTGCTGCGTAAGCAAAAGGTTATTTTTTTATCAGTACAAGAAGGCTTCAAAAAGCTAAAGAATAGGCTCTGTCAATGCCAAGAATAAGCAGGCCTGGGAACTGAGTCTTATCTCATCCAGTTGCAACACATCTTGGACATGCTGAAACGCAAAGGCTCCTCAAACCCCTTGCTTTCTCTACCCCCTTTTCTGGGAAGGGTGCCAGGAGTCCCAAGACAGGAGCGTTCTGTTCATGCTCAGAGGCAGGGCTCCTGAAAAGGGGGAGAAAGGGGAGGGAACTGGAGGGGAATATATGCTCAGTGCAATGGCTGTAAAAACTTGTGCTTGTTTGTGAAGTTATCACACTAGCTTCTTCTACCAAGCCCGGATGGTAGAAATACAGCTCTTTCTCTGAAATTATCCCTTGAGGGTCTGTTTGGCTCCCATTTCCCTCTCCCCGGGTGCAATGCTCTTCCCACCCGAGGGTAAAGCCTGCAAAGGCCACGTTTCAGCTCAACTGCTTGCAGCAAGGCACTGGCAATGCCAAGGTTGTGGGTTCGATTCCCGTATGGGCCACCTGCATATTCCTGCATTGCAGGGGGTTAGACTAGATGACTCTTAGGGGTCCATGAATGATTCATTCCTAGAAATTAGCATACAAATACAATGGTCCCTTGGTTCTCAAATGCCTTGGTTCCCAAACACCGAAAACCCAGAAGTGTTTTCAAACGTTTTTCAGAAGCCGAACATCCAATGCGGCTGTCGGCTACTGTTTCCGGGGCGCCTGCACCAATCAGAAGCCACGCCTTGGTTTTCGAACATTTCGAAAGTCAAACAGACTTCCGGAACGAATGAAGTTTGGTGCTTTTGTTTTTGCTATTTATTTTGCGTTTTTGTTTTTGAGGTTTTTTCGGTTAATTTGTTTTTATGACTGTGTGGAACCCAGTTCAGCTACTGATTGATTGACTGTGTGATTGCGGAAATGGATAAAAGCCCCCCATCCAAACAATGACTATCATCAGTGCAGGTTAAGGGGGAAATTAATTTTAACTTTTTATCATCTACAATACTGTCTTATTTATTTTATAGTACAGAACACTGATTACTGCTTTCATTTTATGGATCAATGGTCTCGTTAGATAGTAAAATTCATGTTAAATTGCTGTTTTAGGGGTTGTTTTTAAAAGTCCGGAACGGATTAATTCGTATTGCATTACTTTCTATGGGGAAGCGCGCCTTGGTTTTGGAACGCTTTGGTTTTTGAACGGACTTCCGGAACGGATTAAGTTTGAGAACCAAGGTACCACTGTAATTCTTTTTCATTTGGCTGCTTTCAAAGAGGCAGAAGCGAGGGCCTGTTTATCGTCACCCAAAAACAACGGTCATTTTCCAAAGTCTGCACCGTATAATACTATGACGGAGACATAGGAGAGCCTTGCGGGAGAGGCAAGGGAGAGCACCCGCATTTTCTGTCCTGGGGTGCTAAACATCCCTGAGCACCTACGCTTCCGAGGGAGAAAAGGGACCACAGCAGCTTTCCCTCACGTTCCTCAGGAGCTCGACACCCGTGAACAGTTGGAAGGCGATCTCCTCACACTTTGGTATTGAAATGGACTTCCAGAACAGATTAAGTTTGAGAACCAAGGTACCACTGAACAGAGAACTCCCATTTTAGGCATGACCGAGGCACAACACTGAACCAGAAGTGACCCAGAAACGTCATCAAGACGACACTGAAACAACACTAAAAGGCCGAATGGGGTGTCTGCAGGCTTTTTTTTAATGGATTTCCAATTTCCCACAAAATGTGCAATGACATGGAACGCAACCCCTTGTGCATATGGGGAGTTGCCTGTAAATCAGAAAATAATAGATAAGTGCAAACATCCTCTCCCGTTCCGATTTTTGGAAAAAGTTGGCAAAAGCACCATTGTCTCCCTATAAACCTGGAGTTGGATTTAAGATACTGCATTTGTCTCTCTTACACAAAACCCGCTTTGCCCTTGGAAAAAATAGGCCTAGATTTAGTCCAGAAAGATGCTCGGACGGAAGGTAGGCGAGATTTTTTTTTTTAAGCAAGTTAGCAACAGCTGTTTGTCAAAATCTCTCGCTCCAGGCCGCTATCGGGGGAAAGTCTTTGCAGAAGGGATCTCTCCAAGACCCCGGTGCTGACGCACAAACGTCGCAAACTGCTGTGTTGGGCAGAGCTGCTGCTTTTAGACCAAAACAGAGCAAGTGGCTGTTGGTTGCTTCACAGATGGCCGCCCTGCAAGGAGGCAGATGTCCCTGCCAGCGTGAAGGACTCTGACACCTTCGCAAGGCAGCTATCTGGAGACTCAAGAAAATAAATTTGCAGGGTGGATAGATGACTGAATTTCAAAGAGCCTGGCCCGAGAATGGTTGGGCTACAGCTGAGGACCAGGTAAGGTAAAAGGTAAAGGACCCCTGGACGATTAAGTCCAGTCCAAGGCGACTATGCAGTTGCGGCTCTCATCTTGCTTTCGGGCCGAGGGAGCCGGCGTTTGTCCACAGACAGCTTTCCGGGTCATGTGGCCAGCAGGACTAAACCGCTTCTGGCGCAACGGGACACTGTGACGGAAACCAGAGTGCACAGAAACGCCGTTTACCTTCCTGCCACAGTGGTACCTATTTATCTACTTGCACTGGCGTGCTTTCGAACTGCTAGGCAGACAGCCAAATGCCCAGAGCCTGGCCACTTTTTAGCATGGAGAGAGTTTTATCGCTTTGACGGATGCTTAAGGGCCAGTCTCAGGTCTTCCAACTTCACTCTTAAGTCCTCGTCAAAATCAAGGGCACCTCGGAATGGGTTGTCTTTATACGGCTGAGAAAACCAAGCACAGCAAGACTAGACTACAGAACAACCTACTTGGACATCGTCTCCGCAGAGAGGTCTTCTGGGTTCCTAACTTTCGTCTCACCTGCAAAGGAAAGCGGATTTCTTTTACTTGATCCGTTTGACAAAATTCATATGCTGCTTTAGTCTAACAAAGCCTCTAAGTACGACTCTCGATAGGACATTTTGGTTCCTGAAATTCATCATCATCATCATTTCTTTTGTATACCGCCTTTCCATAACTGAAACTATGCTCAAGGCGGCTTACAACATGACAAGATTGACATAATTACAAACACTACCGAAGTCATAAACAATAAATAAAGCACACAACCAAATGGAAACAATTTCCAGGTAAATCATAAGATCTAAAACTAAAGATACAACAATAATATCAATAACAGCAACCAGCTCTCTCAACCTCCCGTGAATAAATACACCAGCCCAAGAATCTGTTTAACAGCTTTTGTAGCTGGAGTCAGTCTGCACTCCCAGGCCAGATGGGAAAGCGCCAGCAAGGCAGGGTCTTCCAGGGCTCACAAGGTGGTCTCATTTAAAACTACCTGCTGCCTGCATTTTGCAATGTTAATGTCTACTTGTTTTATTGAATTGTTAAAAAAAAGACTTCCTGTGTCTTGGCAATTGCAAGAGCCTTTTGGGCGAACGGCAGAGTAAAACGTTTTTGGACTAAAATAATTTAACCACACTAGGTGGGGCTCGATGGCTCGATATAATCTTTTAATGAATCCATTTATATTTAAGGTCAGGGAGTAGAGGGGGTGGTTGGCTGTGGAGAGAAAAACCCACAGCAGTACCCAAAAAAAGAGTCGCCTTTTATTTCTGAAAGGATTCCTTACCATGTCCTCTCAGATCCAAAGCCACGATCCGGCACTGGACACGGCTGATGATGGCAGACTGCAAGGAAGGAAAAGATTTCATTTATCCGTTTTATTTAACAGGGCTTACATACGGCTTAATCACTAATACCTGTAAGGCATTTACAAAAGTACAATATGGACTATTGGGAAATAATTTATAATGCATTGGGGGGGGTGTTTAAAAGCACTTTTCCAAAAAAACAAAAACAAAATACAGAGCCCTTTCTTTGAGGATAATTCAGGTGGAAATTCCCAGGTGTCAAAAAAGGATATTAATGTATGCCACTGCTGTGACCTGTGTTTTGTTAGCCCCAAAATGTAAAATGAGAGAGGTCCCAACCAAAGCAGAATGGAAGAATGGCAACTTAAACTGGTAGAATATGCGTAGCTTGCAGATATAGAATAAGAGAACAAGAAGAACATACGTTTAGAGAAGACTGGAAAACGTTTATTAACTATATGGGGGGGGGAATTGTGTACAGTTGAAAATGCTGGCAGCATTAAGATAAATTCAACGGTGTAAATAAGTTTTGATGGATGTAATAATGGAATACTGAAAGGTTTGTATAAAATATGCAGGGATTTATGTTAATCAAAATGAACCATGGAAAGAGAAGGAGGGAAGTCCTGAAATTTTAAGGTTGCTTAAATAAATATTTTAGATTGAAAAACAGAAAATTTAATTTTATTTATAGATAGCACAATATGAACTATCCACTCAAAATAATGATTATAAAAAGATTAAGCCGACCTTAAAAAGTGAAAATGTAAGTGTCAGGGAAAGGAGAGGCTCCCAGATGATGCTGGCAAAGGACCCAGCACCAGGGGGAGAAGCAGCTCAGTAGAGGGGGAAGCAACACCAGGGATAAAGGGGGGCAGATGGGGGAATCGGAGAAAGGGCTCCAGGACTCTTCACTGGACATCAGTGAGGAGAGCGCAGGTCCTCCGCTACCCACGCCCTCCCTGTGCAGAAGACTCCCGCGCAGTGAGAGGAGGAGGAGACTGGGGGTCAAACAGCTTTTATGTTGGAAGAGGTTTAAGAAACGCCCACTGACGGATTCTGCTAGCGACTGAGGCAGCCACAGAGAGAAGGGCTGTGCAGTCGGAACGGTTTAACAAGACAATTTAGCCTAGAGGGGTGGCAGTTTACGCACGAGAAACTCATAGCCATTACAGTAAGTAAAAGTACACCCACACACCCCTGCCTTGCAGGCGGCTGGTCTAGAACCGTGAAGTCCCTTCCAACTCTACAATTCTATGATACATGTTGAAGCACTTGTCAAAATTACATGCCGGGGAAACTTGCCTGAACAATAATAGATTTTTTTGGAAGGTGCTGTAAACAGCATAGCAAAGGCATGCCTAATATCAATGGGCAGGGAGTTCCAGAGGATCGGTTCCTTGCAAGCGAGGAACGAATATTACGTGGCGTTATGAGAATTAGCTAACAGGACCAGTGGTCAGAGATGATGGCAATCATCATATATAAAATAAATCTTCATAAATGTACCAGGCAAACACATACATAAATATATAAACCACATGTCTGAAACAGTACAGGAAAACCACAGTCCTGAAACCATTTTGACTCCCCCAAATTGACCTCAAATTTTCCTCTGCAAGGAAGAAGGATATGGGAAAACCTCCCCATTGTCTCTTTGCTCACAAATCCTGTCTTAAGGGCGTATCTGTGTATGAATAGGGTGAGCCTGTGACCTGGGTTCAGGAACTGAGTATTTACCATCACCAAAGAATGCCCAGGCTGCCCTGGTAAAAGCAATCAGTGACCATTATTAGGTATCCTGGCAGACGGGTTTTCTGCTGTAGACTAGCCTCCTTCTGTGATGTACGTATGATGTTTTGGGAGGTGGTCTTGAGCTAAGGGAAAGGTAAAGGGACCCCTGACCATTAGGTCCAGTCGTGACCGACTCTGGGGTTGCGGCGCTCATCTCGCTTTATCAGCCGAGGGAGCCGGCGTACAGCTTCCGGGTCATGTGGCCAGCATGACTAAGCCGCTTCTGGCGAACCAGAGCAGCGCACGGAAACGCCGTTTACCTTCCCGCTGGAGCGGTACCTATTTATCTACTTGCACTTTGATGTGCTTTCGAACTGCTAGGTGGGCAGGAGCTGGGACTGAGCAATGGGAGCTCACCCCATTGCGGGGATTCGAACCGCCAACCTTCTGATCAGCAAGTCCTAGGCTCTGTGGTTTAACCCACAGCACCACCTGCGTCCCAGGTCTTGAGCTACAGGGTGTCAATTTCAAAAGTCTATTTAAGGGCTTGCGGACCATGTTTCTGGGTTCATGTGGTGAGTGGGACCATGTTGCAACAGTTTAATGAAGACCAGGCTTGCTAGCCGCTTTGCTTCTCAATATTCTCTGGTTGGCCTCTGTTCTTTTCTCCGACCGATGGAGAACCTACATAAGGACTCTTGGGTACCCCACAAGGGAAAAGGAGCACCTTACTTCCCCACTGGGAAGGGAAAGGGCTGCCGGACAGAGGGAGCGCTCTGGTCCCATTGATTAGCCGGGGGTGGCCTCAGACAAAGAGGGCAGGCAGTTTGGAGCAGCGTAAAGTAGCAAGGAGGCCCCACCAGGAATATGAATAAAGCTAAGCGGGTTGGGGAAGAGAGTGGGAAAACAGTGGGACTGGGAGAAGGCCAAGTCTCTCGGAGGGCCTCCGGTCTTTTAAGTAGTGGAAGGGGGGGCTGTGCAATGGGGACAAGGCGACCCACTTAAAGAAGAAAAGGCTGAAATCGGGACAAGGTGACCCACATCCCCAGAGCAGGGGAAAAATGAATTCTGCAGACTAGGCTAAACTCATGCAAGTAAACATAGGGGTCATAGAATTGCAGAATTGTGCAACCCCCTGCGATGCGTGTCCCCTCCTGTTTGGAATAATTTATTCTGCAGGTTTTAACTGCCGGGTGGCGCTGTGGGTTAAACCACAGAGCCTAGGACTTGCCGATCAGAAGGTCGGCGGTTCGAATCCCCATGATGGGATGAGCTCCCGTTGCTCTGTCCCAGCTCCTGCCAACCTAGCAGTTCAAAAGCACCTCAAAGTGCAAGTAGATAAATAGGTACCACTCTGGCGGGATCAGAAGGTTGCCGGTTCGAATCCCCGCGACGGAGTGAACTCCCGTTGCTCGGTCCCTGCTCCTGCCCACCAACAGTTTGAAAGCATGTAAATGTGCAAGTAGATAAATAGGTACCGCTCCGGCGGGAAGGTAAACGGCGATTCCGCGCGCTGGTACCACTCTGGCGGGATCAGAAGGTTGCCGGTTCGAATCCCCGCGACGGAGTGAACTCCCGTTGCTCGGTCCCTGCTCCTGCCCACCAACAGTTTGAAAGCATGTAAATGTGCAAGTAGATAAATAGGTACCGCTCCGGCGGGAAGGTAAACGGCGATTCCGCGCGCTGCTCTGGCTCGCCAGAAGCGGCTTCGTCATGCTGTCCACATGACCCGGAAGCTGTACGCCGGCTCCCTCGGCCAATAAAGCGAGATGAGCGCCACAACCCCAGAGTCAGTCACGACTGGACCTAATGGTTTGACAGTGGACTCGTCTCTTCTTGGAGGTTTCTAAGCAGAGGTTGGACGGCCATCTGTCATGGATGATCTAGCTAAGATTCCTGCATTGCAGGGGGTTGGACTAGATGATTCTGGAAGTCCCTTCTAATTCTACAATTCTGTAACTTTCAACACGTGGCATTTATTGAAGACAACCAACTGAATGCCAGCTCCTCTTTAGAACTTGACATGAGCCAACAGTGTGACGCGGCAGCTAAAAAAGCCAATGCAATTCTGGGCTGCATCAATAGGAGTATAGCATCTAGATCAAGGGAATTAATAGTGCCACTGTATTCTGCTCTGGTCAGACCTCACCTGGAGTACTGTGTCCAGTTCTGGGCACTACAGTTCAAGAAGGACACTGACAAACTGGAACGTGTCCAGAGGAGGGCAACCAAAATGGTCAAAGGCCTGGAAACGATGCCTTATGAGGAACGGCTAAGGGAGCTGGGCATGTTTAGCCTGGAGAAGAGGAGGTTAAGGGGTGATATGATAGCCATGTTCAAATATATAAAAGGATGTCAAATAGAGGAGGGAGAAAGGTTGTTTTCTGCTGCTCCAGAGAAGCGGACACGGAGCAATGGATCCAAACTACAAGAAAGAAGATTCCACCTAAACATTAGGAAGAACTTCCTGACAGTAAGAGCTGTTTGACAGTGGAATTTGCTGCCAAGGAGTGTGGTGGAGTCTCCTTCTTTGGAGGTCTTTAAGCAGAGGCTTGACAACCATATGTCAGGAGTGCTCTGATGGTGTTTCCTGCTTGGCAGGGGGTTGGACTCGATGGCCCTTGTGGTCTATTCCAACTCTATGATTCTATGACCTGAACTTAGTACAGTAATTGCTTTTGTGTGCAGGATCCAAGTTTCCTTTGCACTGGGTGGGGAGATGTGTGAACTCTCAGTTGGAAGGGTGGAAATAGGGAAAAAGCTCCAGTCTTTCCCAAAATAAGGGGGGTGGGGTGGGATTTGCACCAGGCACACTTATGAAAAATAAGAGCCCTGCTGCAAAGACGATGACGCTTTGTGATTTGTTCCTGCCACCTAAATAACATATTTTTGGAATTGCAGTGATTAAGCGGCACTGAGGTTCCAAGGCGCATTTTAAAAATAGGCCTTTTGTTCCAGGAAAATCGACTGGGTGGCAAAAAACCAGGCGCACCCGGCAGCGGCGGAGAATGCCTGTTGAAAAGGCTCCCAAGAGCCAAGGAGACAAGGGATGCCTGCAATTGCAGAAGCCATTATGCTCTCCAACTTTTAAGCCAGGGATGGGGAGACTGTGGCCCTGTGGATGTAGCTGGACTCCAACTTCCATCATCCCACAGGCCATGCTGGCTGGGGCTGATGGGAGGTGAAGTCCAACAGCCCCTGGAAGGATCCAGGTTCCCCTTCTTTTACTTTCTTGTGCTGCAGGAATCAAAGGAAGGACAAACAGGGGCTGGGTTGAGGGAATTTCTGCAAGCCAGTAGCAGCGAAAACTTTGGGCATGTCTGCTCAGAAGAAAATCTCGTGGCTTGCTACCCAGGTAAAGTGGACCCAGGGTTGCTGCCTTAAGCCAGTTCGTAAGAGCTATGCTGAACGAGATTTCCCATGCAGTGTTCTGCTTCCACAGTGGTCCAAGCAAATAGGAAGCCACCTGCAACCAAGTCAGGTCATTGTTCCATTGAGAGCTGTATTGTCTACCCTGGCTGGCAGCAGCTGTCCAGGGGTTAGGACAAGTCTCTCCTAGCTCTACTAGGAGATACAGGGGAGAGTGAGGCCATTGGTCCATGTACCCTAGACTTCCCTGACCTGGGACGCTTCTGGCTGGGGCTGATGGGAGTTGTAGTTTGAAAACAAATGAGGACACTAGGTTGGGGGGGGGGGAAACAGAGATAGCTTAACTGGCAGCAGCAGCAGCTTATAGAATTGCAGAGTTGGAAGAAGGGGTCACTAGAGTCATCTAGTCCAATCCGCTGCAATGCAGGAATCACAGCTGCAGAATACCTGAAAGGTGACCACCGAACCTGTTATCTCTCGCTTGGACTACTGCAACATGCTCTACGTGGGGCTACCTTTGAAGATGACCCGGAAACTACAACTAATCCAGAATGCGGCAGCTAGACTGGTGACTGGGAGCGGCTGCCGAGACCACATAACACCAGTCTTGAAAGACCTACATTGGCTCCCAGTACGTTTCCGAGCACAATTCCAAGTGTTGGTGCTGACCTTTAAAACCCTAAATGGCCTCAGCCCAGTAGACCTGAAGGAGCATCTCCACCTCCATCGTTCTGTCTGGACCCTGAGGTCCACCGCCAAGGGCCTTCTGGCGGTTCCCTCCCTGCGAGAAGTGAGGTTACAGGGAACCAGGCAGAGGGCCTTCTCGGTAGTGGCGCCCGCCCTGTGGAACGCCCCCCCCCCCATCAGATGTCAAAGAAATAAACAACTCTATGACATTTTAACTACTGCCATAATTGTATTATCATTATATTGATCATTAATTTAAACTTAATTTTACAGTACTGTGTTTCTGAATTGTTTCGTACGGTATGTGAGTCTGGCCTGGGACCGTAATAAATTCAATTCAAATATATGACGTTCAGAAGACATCTGAAGGCATCCCTGTTTTGGGAAGTTTTTAATGGCTGATGTTTTAGTGCATTTAGTGCATTTTTGGCCTTCTGTTTTAGTGCATTTAGTGCATTTTTGGCCTTCTGTTGGAGGCTGCCCAGAGTGGCTGGGTATCCCCAGCCAGATGGGGAGGGGTAGAAATAATATATTATTATTACAGTGGTGCCTCGCAAGACGAAATTAATTCGTTCCGCAAGTTTTTTCTTCTTGCGAGTTTTTTCGTCTTGCGAAGCACGGTTTCCCATAGGAATGCATTGAAAATCAATCAATGCGTTCCTATGGAGACCGTCCGGGGACAGAAGGGAAGCGCCGCGAGCCTTCCCCTCTGTCCCCGGACCTGTTTAAAGCAAGGGGCAGCGGGGAGAAGATTGCTTCTCCCCGTTGCCTGCCCCGCAATCTGTTTTAAAGCAAGGGAAGGGGCAGCGGGGAGAATCACTTCTCCCCGTTGCCGCCCCTTGGTTCAAAAGGGGTCCAGGGACAGAGCGGAAGGCGCGCGCGCCTTCCCCTCTGTCCCCTCTTTTGAAGCAAGGGGCGGAGGGGAGAAGATCGCTTCTCCCCGTTGCCGCCCCTTGGTTCAAAAGAGGTCCGGGGACAGCGGGGAAGACGCGCTGCGCTTCCCCGCTATCCCCGGAGCTTGCGGGGCAAGCTTCGTTTTGCGAAGCAAGCCCATAGGGAAATGCGTCTTGCGAAGCAGCTAAGAAAACGAAAAACTCCTTCGTCTAGCGAGTTTTCGTCTTCCGAGACGTTCGTCTTGCGGGGGTACCACTGTATTAGACTTCCAACGAAGGAGAGCCTGCCGCCTTCTGAGGGGGCCTTTTCCTCTGTCAAACGGCTCTTGCCGTCACAAAGTTCTTCCCGGTGCTTAGTCAGAAAAAATATGCCCCTCACTACGAAGCTCAATATTGGAAGATGCAGGACAAACTGAAGAAAAGTCTTTTTCATGCAGTGCAGAATTAAAAGGGTGAGATTCTGTGTTCCTGACTGACTGGAATGCTCCTGTGAGCGCAATAATGCCTCTATGCTTGCCTGGACGGAGAGGGGTGCATGTGCGTGTCTCTGTATAATGTTACACACCAACACAATCTCAGAGTGGTAAGATTCCAGGAAGTTCAACAATCTTGCCTCCTTGGAATAAAGGTTAATGGAGACTGTGGTGTCTTTAGGATGTATGGTTTTCTCTTCAAGTCCTATTGCCAGCCCTGCAACCAGAGCTCCTTCTCACTGGAGATGCTTCTACATTCACAGCAGGTGCCCTGCTCTCCGTCATAGCCTTTAAAAGCAAGGCAGCTATTGTGCTAGGAAAGCCACAACGTACAATAACGTATTTGCTTGCGGCCATCAAGCCGCAGGATTGATTCTCATCGCGAAGGATGCTTTCCGGGTTTATTCTGTAAAGGCGCCTCGCAAAGCAGAAGGGGCTCCGTAAACAACGTAATATTAACCACAGGAAAAGATGTGCGATCAGCTGTTCACTTACGGTAAACACAGCCCAGGAGAGGGCAGAATGGCCTCCGCCGTGTAGAAGGAGTAAGACGGGACCCTCGGACCCACTCTTGTAAATTCGAAAAGTGTATGAACAGTTAAGGACATGGTAACCTTCTCAAAATAAAAAGAGAAAGACCTCCGAGTTAAGATGCAAGCTGCAACATCGTCTGCGCCTCCCAAGAACACATCGTCACTCAGTCAGCAGGACATTATTTTTTTACGCCCAGAAGACTTTGGCACCGTCCTTTGGCAGCGCTGAATCGCTTCAGTGCCACCCAAAGCGAGCTCAATCAGGGAAACATTTTGCAAACATCACCACCCAAGGCCATCTGCCGGGAGCCACACTGCGTGGAGGGTGGCAGCTTCTAGACAGGTGGCCGTATGGCTACGTGCGCAACAGAGGACCCTATAAATCAGGCATTTTTTTAACAAAGGAGGGGGGAAAGGATATATCCTTGCCAGAGTCGCTCTCAACCACAACATCCTCCATGGACTCGAAGTACTGGCTCCACGGGACAGCAGAATAATCGCGCTTCCTTCCAGGCCTGGAAAACAGAGACACGATGCTTAAATATTGCACCTGGGTGGCTTAAGAAGTATTTTGCTGTGTGCAGGAAAGCCCTTTATGTGCAACGACAGCCTTGTTCTTGCAATTTTAAAAGAAGGAGAAGAAAGTTACAGCCGTTCCTTTCATTACAGATTGGATTCCCCCGGGGTACCACAAAATAATCCAGGCTCCATCACTGCACATCTTTTGCCAGCAACTCAACATTTCATGTATTTACCAAAGAAAGCTTTAGAAATCTATACCGATGGATGGTGGAGTCAGGCAACAGAAATAATATCACAGGCTGGCACACAGACATTTCACAATCATCCTGGGGCTGAAAATAAGGAAGACTAAGATCTACATCAGGCATAGGCAACCTCGGCCCTCTAATGTTTAGGGACTACAAATTCCCATCATCCCTGACCACTGGTCCTGTTAGCTAGGGATCATGGGAGTTGTAGTCCCAAAACACCTGGAGGGATGAGGTCACCTATGCCTGACCTACATCCAGCAACCTGCAGCATTCCAGATGTTGCCAGACTACAACTCCCAGCAGCCCTTGCTGCTATCCATGCTGGCTTAGGTTGATGGGAGTTGGGGGTACATAAGAACAACATGCTGGATCTGACCAATGGCCCATCTAGTCCAGCATTCTGTTCTCACAGCGGCCAACCAGATGCCTGTGGGAAACCTGCAAGCAGGATTCGAACACAAGAGCCCCCTCCCCTGCTGGAGGGCTGCATCAGGGGCTGAGAAGGCCAAACACATTCCATACAAATAAGGTGTTTTATGAGATTACCGGGACACAGGTTTGGGGGCTAAATCTCCTTCTCTCACAACCAGATAGAGTGGTACCTCGGGTTAAGTACTTAATTCATTCCGGAGGTGCGTACTTAACCTGAAACTGTTCTTAACCTGAAGCACCACTTTAGCTAATGGGGCCTCCTGCTGCTGCCGCACCGACAGAGCACGATTTCTGTTCTCATCCTGAAGCAAAGTTCTTAACCCAAGGTACTATTTCTGGGTTAGCGGAGTCTGTAACCTGAAGCGTCTGTAACCCGAGGTACCACTGTACAGTGGACACTCGGGTTGCAAACGTGATTCGTGCTGGATGCACATTCACAACCCGCAGCAGCGCATCTGCACACGCGCAGGTTGCAATTCGGCGCTTCTGCACATGCGCAAAGCACTATTTAGCGCTTCTGTGGATGCGCGACCCCCGAAACCCGGAAGTAACCCGTTCCGGTACTTCCGGGTTTCGGTGGCTCCATACCCAAAAAAAACGCAACCTGAAGCATCTGTCTGTAACCCGAGGTATGACTGTATTCCGAAGCTTCACCTGAAACTACTCCAGCCAGGAAAGTGGCGCTTGCCTAATTTCTCCCCTACAGCAACACCAAAACAGTCTCGCCTCTTTCATTATTTTTACCGTGCAGACAGAAGCTGAGATTATTAGCTCAAGGTGGCCTCCGGCCGCCGAAAAGCTGCTCAGATCTGCCAGAAGCATAGCCAGATGTGCTGCAGAGCAAGCTTCCCCAACCTGGTGCCCTCCAGATGATTTGGACTCCCTCAAGGCTGCTGGGAGTGAAGCGTCGAAAACATCTGGAGAACATGAAGACTGGGGGAAGGCTGGTCCAGGCTGGTTAGCTGTTCTCACCGCAAAGTCTCGGGCGGAGATCTCGGCTGGCTACACTGCCAGTGTTGTTGTTTTATTGCTTTCACTGGGGAGTGGACCTGGGACTTCCTGCGTGCAAATGGTGTGTTCAAGCAGCAAGCGACGGCCCCTCCCAGAGAGACGCCTTCCGCTGTCACTTTGCATCTTCCATGCACAGCAGGTTTCCTTCAGCGATTCCCCACCCAGCCTCCCCTGGCAAATGGCCAGCAAGCGCCACAATATGGTAACACCGGTCTCTCCTCCCCCGCTCACTCCTGGACCTAAACACCACCTCTTTGCATGTAGGGTTCAGGTCCCTCCTTTTTGTAACACAGCACACCCCGCGATCCCTCACAGCCCCCATGCATTGCTTGCGCTGGATGAACATCACCTACCTCTGATGGAATCTCATGCACCAGGCTCAGAATCAGGCACGAACCCCCCCCACACACACACACAATTCCTTGAGCTGGTTGCTGCCTTGAGGTTGCCACTATTGCAATGTGATTTTTACAACACATACAATAAAGAGAGAAGTGCATTGAGCTTTCACATCGCAAACGACAGCCTTCTATCTCCTTCTCCATCCTTCCTCACCGGGCAAAAAAAAGGACCCCTTAAACCCTTTGGGTAAGGGTGAAGAAATTGCAATGCCCCATGGCATAAGGCGGGATGTGGTTGGCGCTGTGGGTTAAACCACAGAGCCTAGGACTTGCCGATCAGAAGGTCGGCAGTTCGAATCCCCGCGACGGGGTGAGCTCCCGTTGCTCGGTCCCTGCTCCTGCCAACCTAGCAGTTCGAAAGCACGTCAAAGTGCAAGTAGATAAATAGGTACCGCTCCGGCGGGAAGGTGAATGGCGTTTCCGTGCGCTGCTCTGGTTTGCCAGAAGCGGCTTAGTCATGCTGGCCACATGACCCGGAAGCTGTATGCCGGCTCCCTCGGCCAATAAAGCGAGATGAGCGCTGCAACCCCAGAGTCGGCCATGACTGGACCTAACGGTCAGGGGTCCCTTTACCCTTTACCTTTTTACAATGACGAGAGATGCGCATTAAGCTTCCACATCACAAACGACAGCCTTCAATTTCCAGGAGAATCCCCTTCTCTATCCTTTCTCACCGGGCAAAAAAAAGGGCCCCTTAAAGCCTTTGGGTAAGGGTGAAGAAATTGCAACACCCCATGCCAGAAGGCCAGAAGCAGCAGTCAACCTGGGATTCCCCAGGTGGCCTCTGTCCACGTCTGCAACCGAGGAGCAGTGCTTTCTACGGGGCGCACTACTGCCTTCAGAGCACTCATATTACACATCACATAACTCCTATTTGCTGTTGGGATCAGTCTGTTTCAGGAGACAATGGAGGAGTGTGCCTCTGGGGTTATGTCAAACTCCCATGATACACACATACATATATATATATATACACACATATCCACATTGTATATACGTAAAGGAAAAGGGACGACTCTGGAGTTGCGGCGCTCATCTCGCTTTGTAGGCCGAGGGAGGTGGTGTACAGCTTCCGGGTCATGTGGCCAGCATGACTAAGCCGCTTCTGGCGAGCCAGAGCAGCGCACGGAAACGCTGTTTACCTTCCCGCCAGATTTATCTTCCCGTTTACCTTCCCATCTATTTATCTACTAGCACTTTGACGTGCTTTTGAAGTGCTAGGTTGGCAGGAGCAGGGACCGAGCAACGGGAGCTCACCCCGTCGCGGGGATTCGAACCGCCGACCTTCTGATCGGCAAGTCCTAGGCTCTGTGGCTTAACCCACAGCGCCATCCGCGTCCCTCACCCCCATATTACACATCACTTAACCCCTATTTGCTGTTGGCACCTGTCTGTCTCAGGAGACAATGGAGGAGTGTTGGGTTATGTCAAGCCCCCATGATACACATAAATACACATTTATCCACGTTATTTATATATATACATATACAGTGGTACCTCGGGTTAAATACGCTTCAGGTTACAGACTCCGCTAACCCAGAAATAGTGCTTCAGGTTAAGAGTTTTGCTTCAGGATAAGAACAGAAATTGGGCTTCGGCGGCGCGGCAGCAGCAGGAGGCCCCATGAGCTAAAGTGGTACTTCAGGTTAAGAACAGTTTCAGGTTAAGAACGGACCTCCAGAACGAATTAAGTACTTAACCCGAGGTACCACTGTATATATGTGTGTGTGTGTGTACATATATATATATATATATATATATATATATGTATATATAAGAGAAACACACACCAGGCTTCCATTGAAAGCAGAGAGCGCCCCCCTCCCACCACCTTAGGAGCCCCCTTCATTTTGCAAACAATCATTCCCCCCCCAAAAAAGACTCCTCCACCCACGCGTGTTCTGGAAAATCCCCCACCCCACCCACCCCCAAAATAAACCCTGGGCAAACCCCGCCCCGCCCCATTCATCCTCCCCAAAGCCACGCCCCCTCCTGCACTCGGCGCCCCCTTCCCCACCCCAGCTGCATGACGTCACGTCACCTCCCCGGTCCCCCCGCCGCGTGACGTCATCTCCCTCCCGCGTGACGTCACCCGCCTCCCCCCCTGTCTCCCCCCCCTCGCGTACCCCATGCGCATCTTGGGGAGGGCCTGGCCGCTTCCCCCGGCGGGTCCCGGCGGGCGAGGGGGCAGGCGGCCCAGCTGCAGCTGCTTCTCCAAGTCGGACATGGCGAGGGCGGCGGGGAGAGGCGAGGCGGCGGCGGCGGCGAAGGGGCAGGATCCGGCCCCCGCCCTCCCAGAAGGAGCCGCCGGCCAGCCGCTCCCAGCAGCCTCTGCGCGCCGGAAGGACGCCTCCCCGCGCCCCAAGGCCTGCTGGGAAATGGAGTTTCTGAAGATTCCAAACGGGAGCGGCCGCGGTGCACCCTGGGAGGCGCGGTTCCGTTTTCAGGGCATGAGCGAGGCGGGGCGGCGCCGTAGAGATAGTAAAGTTCAGAGTCGCTCTTTAGTTTTCCATGATTTAAAGCTGAAATAAATGTATACTTTTTCCATTACAAATGTTCATATTCCATTCAATTCACTCATGCAGTCAAAAGCATCGCCTTCCCTTGCCCTCCCTTCCGCGGTTCTGTATATTTACCCATTGTGACTGCATGTTCCAATTGCTCAATAATTGTTATTGTCCTCCTCAACCATACCTTCATATACTTTAAACTGCTGAATCCGTTCCATCCCTGCTAACGTTTCAACCTGCAAACATTTTCCACTCTTCTTTAAATACTCCACTCTTCCTGATCTCTTATTTTATAATAATAATAATCACAACAATAATAATTTATTATTGTTAATAATAATAATGTTGATATCAATATCACAATTAAAATTAATAATGATTAATAATGATTATTTAATAATTAATAATGATTATTTATGTAGACAAGGATTAAATGTAAGGTATGTGTTTATAATGATGTGTTTATAATGTTGATATCAATATCACAATTAAAATTAATAATGATTATTTATGTAGACAAGGATTAAATGTAAGGTATGTGTTTATAAGGAAGTGAGAGCTGGACCATAAAGAAGGCTGATCGTCGAAGAATGGATGCTTTTGAATTCTGGTGCTGGAGGAGACTCTTGAGAGTCCCATGGACTGCAAGAACCTATCCATTCTGAATGAAATCAGCCCTGAGTGCTCCCTGGAAGGACAGATCCTGAAGCTGAGGCTCCAATACTTTGGCCACCTCATGAGAAGAGAAGACTCCCTGGAAAAGACCCTGATGTTGGGAAAGATGGAGGGCACAAGGAGAAGGGGGCGACAGAGGATGAGATGGTTGGATAGTGTTTTCGAGGTTACCAGCATGAGTTTGACCAAGCTGCGGGAGGTAGTGGAGGACAGAGGTGCCTGGCGTGCTCTGGTCCAGGGGGTCACGAAGAGTCGGACACGACTAAACGACTAAACAACAACAACAACATGTGTTATAATAGATTTATGAGAAATTTAGAAAACTTATTGATCAGAATATTTGTGTGAGATTGTATGGGGAAAATACAGAATAACAGAAACAATCTTGTTTAAAATGCATATAGGAAGTGCAGTGAAAGTTAATGAAATTTTATTATTATTTTCATATTGAGATATTTGTAGAATTAAGTTGGAAGAGATTCTTCCAATTTTTTTTCTCTTTATTTTTTCTTCTTTCTTCTTTACATCTTTTTCTCTCTTTTGTTCCTTTTTTTATATATATATATGTGCTTATTTGTAATATTTTGCTTATATTTTGTAACAATTATGTTAAATAAACAATAAATTTTAAGAATAAATAAAAATAAATAAATAACACTCTTAATATTATTTAAAAATCTAAAATTGTTTTTAATTCTAATAATCATAGTAATCGTAATAATTACTAA